AGGCTCTGACCCACCCTTTGAGCCACCACTCCTGTGAGTAAGAGCTGAGACACGGGGGGACTTCAACATCTGAGGTCACTTGGTGACAAATCCTTTTTCCCTGTTATTCCCACTGGGAGTAAACCAACGTCAGTTACAGGGAAATGAGTCGCTGGAATCTTGGATCTCCCTCATCCTGGAATCCCACGCTCCCCTGGTGAATCACAGGCACCAGACAGGGCACCTGCCCACAGTTTGGGAGTCTGGGCAGAGAGAGGGAAAGAGACGTGAAGGAAAAAATTCCTGAATCGAGGAGAAAATGGGTCTGGATGCTCCCAGGCTTGGAGCTCCCCGTGAGATCTGAGCCTGAGCCACGTGGAGCTGGAGAGCTCGGTGCTCTGTTCCCTGGATGCAGAGGAGGCAAAGAGGGAGCTTTAGGCACCAGAAAGACAAAATGCTCTGTGCACACCTGGAGTCACCTATACAGGGATTGGGAATCCCTTCCTGCAAGCACAGGGAGGAATGGGATGTAGGCTTGGCCCCCAGTTGGCATCCCAGCTGTTGATCCAGCTCCATGGGGTATCCCATACCTCCTGTTAAAGGGAGGGGCTTTCTGGAAGCCCCCAAGATCCATCTATTTGTAATTTAATCTTCAAATGACATAGAAACTATGTAATCCAAACTCCATGGCGCAGGGAATGTTTTCCAAGGAAAGCTATGTTCAGGATGACATCCCTCCAGATGCCTTGATTTAATCAGCCCCTGTAACATCCCCAGTTCTGTTCCAGCATCTGCCCCGTGCTCACAAGGATCAGGCACTTCCAAGCTGGTGGAAACTCTTTTCATCCCCGAGAAAACAATCAGAGAATCCCAGAATATCCTGAGCTGGGAGGGATCCACAGGGATCACCTGGTCCAGCTCCTGGCCCTGCCCAGGACACCACAACACCATGTCCAGACGCTCCTTGAGAGCCCACTGCTCTGGGGAGGCTGTTCAGTGGCCCTTCTTCACCCTCTGGGGGAAGAACCTTTTCCTTGGCTGGATGGACACCACAGTTGGGAGCCTAAAAGCATCGATCCCATGGGAAATCCCAGCCAAGGTCACCCTGCGCTGGTTCAGAGTGGAACGATGCATATCCACCCATTTTAAAGGCTCCCGCTGGGAAGCACAAACCTGCAGCAGTTCCCAGCAGCTCCCCTCAGCGTTACAGAACTCTGAGAGCACAAATAACCTTTAGCTGCCCTGGTTTTTGTCTTTGGACAGCACAAAACGATGGGATTTATGTTTACCTGCACCTCTTGGCCTCTCTGGATGCACAGTCACGTCCAAAAAGGGAAGAAGGTTCCCAGCAATGGGAACAATAAAACTTCCTGGCCTTGTTTGCCTTGGCACAACAGCTTTTCACTGACATCTTTGCATCCTTCACGGGCTATGAGGCACGAAATATTTGGGGTTATCAGTGAGCTGAAAGTTGATGGATCCAACCCAAAGTTCACTGAACACCCAGCAAGAACAACTCCCAGCAAGAGGGACCAGACACTGGCTCGGGCTGCTGGGCTCAGAATAGCTCTCAACTGTCTGATTGCACTGACTGGGGGCTGTTTGAGTGAGGGGTCACTTGGACAGACACCCTGGGGGGTGGCACGAAGGTCACGGAGATGCTGCAGGGGCAGGGAAAGAGCCTTTGGAGGAAAGCACAGATGGAATCATGGAATAACTTAGGTTGGAAAAGACCTTTGAGATCATCGAGTCCAGCCCAGCACTGCCAAGTCCAACAGGTCCAAGCCAACCCTCCTCCAGGCTGGTCACCCACTGAGGCAAAGAACCTCTGCTTTGATGCCCAGAGAAGCTGTGGTTGCCCTGGAAGTGTCCAAGGCCAGGCTGGACAGGGCTTGGAGCAACCTGGGCTAGTGGAAGGTGTCCCTGCCCACAGCAAGGGGGTGAAACTGGGTCATCTTTAAGGTCTCTTCCAACCCAAACCAGTCTGGGATTCTGGGATGCTTCAACTTTAAGGAAGTTTGCAATAATGGAGGTTGGAAATTTAAGGAACTGATATCAGAGGGAAGTCAGGACAACTGGAAACTTCTGCTTTCCTGGATAGTATTTATAGGATTTATTGGTTGCTTTGAGGAGGGTAAAGACTTGAACACCTTCAGACAACAGAAAGTCTTACAACATATTTATTATAAAGCCAAATTCCTTTCCAGCTCAAGAAGTACCTGGAGGTGGCAAATGCCATGGGCAGGGACACCTCCCACTAGCCCAGGTTGCTCCAGCCTGCTCTTGGACACTTCCAGGGATGGGGCAGCTGCAGTTTCTTTGGGAATTCCATCCCAGCCTCTCTCCACCCTCCCAGGGGAGAATTCCTTCCCAATATCCCATCTAACCCTGCCCTCTGGCAGCAGGAAGCCATTCCCCCTTGTCCTGTCCCTCCAGACCTTTGTAAAAAGTCCTTGTAGGAAGAGATGATCAAATGGATAAAACTTCCAGCAGCTGCTCCCACAGATACAAAAAAGCTCCATAGCCCAAATTTTCCAAAATAAATACTTTTTGGTAAAAACTGCCTTTTGTGGGAAATGAAACAAAGGATGCCCCTATTAATACATTCCGACTGCAAACAAAAACAGGCTCAGAAAGGCCAGAAACACCCACAAAACAATCCCCCCATTCCCTGTGCCTCCTAAACCTTCCAATGGGCACCGCGAGCTCCCAGTGCTCCCAACACCACTACGTGGGGCTAAACGCACTCAGGGCTCTTAAAACCAGTTCTTAATTTAACTTCCAGTTTCTGGAGGCATTTTACCAGCCTTCCACTCTCATTTTCTCTGAGGAAAAGCAGCCCCTGGCTTGGAAAGATGTTCAAATAAAGGGATGTTGCCAAATTATTAAAATTAAAGGCAAGTGCTGAGTTGGCCGAGCTGGAACTCATGGCTGGGAACCAGCTTCCAAAATTCCCTCAGCAGCCTGCAGAGGACTGCAAGGATCACCTCAGCCTGGGATGTTTGGAAAGCTCATGGAAAGCCTGGGGGGAGCCATAAATCAGTGACAATGTTGTCCCACTCTATCTTATCCATCGTGCCTTTATTTGTCTCCCTGACCCGGGTCAAGGAATCCCAGGATGGTTTGGGTTGGAAGAGACCTTAAGGACCATCTTAAGGACCTTAAGGACATCTTAGAGCCCTTAAGGACCCCCTGCCATGGGACACCTTCCACTAGTCCATGTTGCTCTGAGCCCTTTCCTCCGTGGTTAGGATTTTCCAGGACCTTTTTGGGACGAAGATGTGATGGCACATGTGGATTCCTGGCCAGGCACAGCTAGGCTGGAGGGTTTTCTGCTGGGAAGATCTGTCATTCCTGTTACAAACACCAGATGCTGGGAAAACAAAGAGCCCTTTCCTGTAAACAACAGCACATTTTGTTTGGCTTGGGAGCACCAGCAACAAAACCCCCCAAAAAAGTGGGGAAAGGTGGAAAACAGAACAAGGGGGGAAGTGCTGGACGCAGAGGGAAATGGAGGCAGGAGAATGACTCCCCAGGGTCACTGTGGGTTTGGGGGCTGCAGGTTGGGGTTGGGGTTGGGGTTGGGGTTGGAAAGGACCTTAAAGCTCATCCAGTGCCACCCCCTGCCATGGGCAGGGACACTTCCCACTATCCCAGGCTGCTCCAAGCCTCATCCAACCTGGCCTTGGACACTTCCAGGGATGGGGCAGCCACAACCATTTCCTTCTTCTTTTTTCTTCCACCACCTTTTTCTTCTTTTTCTTTTCCACCATTTTCTTCTTCTTTACCCTCCACAACCTTTTTCCTTCTTCCAGGGATCAAAGACCTCCTTTGGGAGGGAAGACATGAAGGAGCTGATGGGGAATGCCAACAAGTCAAATAATGAGGGGTTTGCCCAGCCGTGGGAATAACGGATCCTACAGGAATTGCTTGGACACTGCCTGAGATTTGGTGAGTTCTCAAAGCCCAGAGCAAATATTTGAGCATCACATGGTGCAAGAGGAGATCTTTTCTCTTCCTTAAAGGCTCCTGAACGTGATAAAAAGGAAAATGTTGCAGTGACAGGCTCAGAGGTGAGTCTGTCACAGCTGGAATTCACTGGGAGGTGACCAGAATTCCCAGCTCCTCTGCCCTGGAGGGATAACTGAGGGAACAGGTAGATAACATGCAGCTCCTGTCAACAATTCCATATTGTTTGTCCTGGGATTGGCAGCTCAGACACACAGGCCTTTCCCAGGTGAGGAATCTCCTGAGATGCACCACGAGGTACCCAGTTGGGGTGGCCTGGGGGGAGATGCCCAGAGAGCCAGGAGGCTCCTGCTCCACGGCAGAGGAATTTCAAGGCTGGATTGGGAAAATTTAGGATTAGGGCTTGTTTGGCTTTGTTTTTCACCACCAGAATTCCAAACCATTGGATGGTTTTCTTCCAGCTGGGAAGAAACTCTGGTTTTGCCTTCAGCGGGAACGCTGGCACCAGAGCAGACAAACACTTCCCAAATGGGAAAAGCAGGAATCCTAAAGAAGGGACTGTGCCCTGGACTGGGGGCACCTACAGGGACTAAATCCACCTGCTAATCCTTGGGAAGAACAGAGCAACCAGCAGGAACTCCTGCAGCAGAAGCCTGGAGGGAGTTTTCCACTGAAAATGCTGCAAAAACAAAAGCTAAGTTATAAAAATCCAAATATTTTGAGAAATTGAATCTGTTTTCATGCCAGGAGACACTGAGGAGCTGCATTTCCAGAGCTACTAAGGAGGCAGGAGCAGGAATGAGAGGTTTGAAGAGCCCCTTTTGAGGGAGCAGGTGGAAAGTTTTCAGGATCTCCTGAAAAATCAGGGAACTCAGGATCTCCTGGGGTGGCAAGGCAGGAGCTAGCACTGGAGCATTCCCTGTTCTCCGGCCCCCTCCAGTGGCTACAGAACACGGAGAGGAGGCAGCCACAGCCTCCAAAGCCAGCAGGATCCAGGCTGTCCCAAATCCAGAGCCATCTCCTGAAGCAAAGAATTAGGCCCAAAGCCAAGCTCTTGCACTGCAACATCTTTATTCGGCTCCACGTGGATCCAGACCCACCACAGGGCTGATTTTTTTCCCCTGGGAAAAGCCAACAAACCACTGATTGGCACTTCTGAAGTGGGATTCTGTCCCCTCTGTTCCCTCCTGGTGTTTTGCTCCCTGGAAGACGAAAAGCTAAAAAGGTGCTGCACCTTTTTGGGGCAAAAAGGGCTTTGTTACTCGACTTTGGGGAGTGAAAAACAAGCAGCAAAGCCCAAAGAAACCCACCCAAAACAACCCAAAAATTGCTTCAACTCAACGGACGCTCTTCCTCCACCTTTTGTAAAATTGTCAAACAGCAGGAAATCTTTGGGTCCCAGCTCCCAGCATTCCATGGCCTGGAAATTTTCCCTGAGCCATAAAGACAAGAGGAAAGCCCACAGGAAAAAAAAAGGCATCATTGGATCTTGCCTGGCTTATTTCAGATCTGCTTTGGTTCTGTTTATATGGTTTGCAAATACATAAATGCCTAGAATATTATTAGAATATACCTAAATATTATTAGAATATGACTAATTAATATTTAGATCAGAATGCCTAAATATTATTCAGATTTTATATTGGAAGGCTCTCGTTTCCTGGGTTTAAAAGGACAGGGACATCCAGAGGATGGAGGTTTGGGCCCCACAGGACACTGAGGTCCAATAATTATCATTAATTTATTTTCAGATTCAGTATTATCTCTCTACAAGGAAAATTCCAGCTCTCTTGTGTATTAAACCACTTGGCAAAGCCAGGTTTAAGTATGCTGGGTTTACGCAGCAACCAATGTCCACAGGGATAAGAAAAGCCTGGCACTTACCGTTTAATACTGAATTGCCCCTAAGTTGGACCCATTTGAAGCCAAAAGTGAGACCATCCAGGTTTTAACAGACCTTTCCCAGGCACATTCCCTCAGTTAAGATGGAAGCTGGATGGATGATCCAGGCAAAATGTGTCCTGCCCTTCAAAGCTCTGATTCTGCCCATGGTCAAGGGATTGATGAACTCCAAGCTTGGGCTGGGAGAAGCATCCCTTGACCTGGAGAAATCCATGGTCAGGGGAACCCTTGGGATTGACTTCAGAATTAATATTGTACCAGGTTTAGCTTTAATTATACTGGAGTTACAGCAGGCAGCAAATTCACTAAATTCTCCCCATTTCCTGTGGGGAATTACCACTGGGGCACTTCACCATAGCTCATAGCACCAAGAGTTTGGACAAGGCTCTCGGGGCCAGGGTGGGGTTGCTGGGGTGTCCTGAGCAGGGCCAGGAGCTGCACTGGATGGTCCTTGGGGATCCAACTCTGGAGATTCTGGGCTTCTGAGATTCCCTCTCCCCACACCTTCACTCAGGAGCGCCCAGTTTGCAAAGCAACTCAAAATCCCGGGGTAAAAGCCACCCCAAAAAAAGCTTCCATGGCTTTGCCCCAACACAACCCACCCCGACTGCCGCCCCTCCGCACCGGAGCTCCCGGAGCACGGCCATCCCGTGCTCCTGCAAAACATTAGGGATCCCCCAGCAAGGTGCCAAGAGGCTTTTACAACCTGTTTGCATCTCCCAGGCATGTTAACACCTCCATAAAGTGAGCACACGACTCGCAGGCACCGGGAAAACCGAAACCAGCTGCTCGCCTGGAAAGGGAACGGGGAAAAGCTGCTGCCTCCTCACCTGCTCACAGCTCCACATCCGTCCCATCTCACCCAGGGAGGGCTTGGGAATATCCTTGGCTTTTGCAACCTTAAGCTAAAATCAGGATGGAAGGGGCAGCTGGATCTTCCACGTCATGGAATTGAAATAACAGGAAATAATCAGGGATTGGGTTTTTCCTGCCCTCCATTTATTTGTGGCTCTGGATAAAGAACATTTGTCAAGGCCTGTGGGGTAAATCCATAGGGATGGGGCTTGGAGCAACCTGGGCTAGTGGAAGGTGTCCCAGCCCATGGCAGGGGTTGGGAATGAGATGAGCTGTAAGGTTCCTTCCAACCCAACGCAGTCTGGGCTTTGATGATCTTTAAAGCCCCATCTGGAGAAACCCCTTTGCCCACTGGATGAGCACGGGAAGAACATCTGGCAGAGCAAAACTGTCCAAAAAATCACCTTCTAACACAGGGACCAGAAAGGACCTGAAGCAGTGAAGTAAAAGCAAGTAGCAACTATCACCTGAGCTTTTTCCCAAGATCCCGAGGGACCACCATCTCTGCCCTCCTAAGGCTGGGATTTTGGCAGGGATTCCTTTACACTGACCCTGAGCCTTTAAGGAGCTGACCCTGAGATCCTGAGGAAGGCTGTTGGCTCCCTGGAGATGACACTTTCCTGGGAGCTTGTGGCACGAAGAGGCACTGGGAATCAAAGGAGTCCAGGCACAGAATCTCCCAATTTGAGTCTCCCAACTCAAGCCAAAAAGCCCTTTCTTCTCCCTTTTCCACAAACAAAACAGAGCTGGAAGGCGGATCCGGGAGGGCTTTCCCTGACCATGCCACGGGATCCGGAGTCAAAGGGAGGTGGGAACTCCTGGTTTTCTGTGCCACCAGAAGAGGACAGAGGAAAACACACCCAATTTTACTCACAAACTTCACACAGGAGGAAAAGGCCAAGTACTGGTGGCAGAGAGAGGCTTCCTTGTATCCTATAGGAAGAGGAAAGGCTCCAGCAGGGAGAGCCAGGAGTGTGGAACAGAGGAGTGACAGAGTTCCACTCGTGCCAGCAGCTCCAGGATATATTGTATTTACTCAGGGAACACCCGCACACCTCGGTCAGGCTCATTCCCAGCAAATCCCTGGGGAAACGAGGGACACATAGAACCACTGCCCCTTAAATCCGGAAGGGCAAAAAAATCCCAGGAGCAGGGAATGATGTGCACTCCGTGGGGAAAGGGTTGGGATTGGCACCAGGCTTCTGCAAACTGAGCAAACCAAACCATCCAGGGAAGCAGCCAGTTGTCCTTTAAGTGTGTTCATGGAGTAAAAATTGTTTAATGGGGTCTGGGATTGGAAGGATATGGATGAGATCCAGGCGGGATTTGCCGAGGGTTCTCCGGACAGCGATGCGGCACAGGGACAGGAGGCTCCGGGGGCGGCCTGCAAGGAAAAACACGGAACCACTGAGGGACAGGGACAGGGAGAACTGCACAAATCCTTCCCCTGAGGAAGCCAAACCTTCCAGCCAAGGATTTGGAGCAATGACAGCTCCACATTGGATGGGGTGGGGACCATGGAGCCCATCCCTGCAGGAGAGGGGCCAGGAGAGCACTGCCAAGGCACACCAGCACCCCAGGGAATGGCTGGAGCTGTGTCAGGGAGGGTTGGATATCAGGAGAAGGTTCTGGAAGGCACTGAACAGGCTCCCCAGGGCAGTGGTGCCAGAGCTCCAGGAGTGTTTGGACAACACCCTCAGGGACAGGGTGGGATTGTTGGGGTGCCTCAGGCAGGGACAGCAGTTGGACTGGATGGTCCCGGTGGGGCCCTCCCAGCTCAGGATATTCCATGATTCTACTTGGATCATTCTAAAAATACATGGACACTATTTTTGCTGGGAAACCAGAGCATGGAAGGGTAGCTCAGGCCTTATCCCAACTTTCTTCCGAGGGCTTGGGAGTTCCTGGAGAGCTCTTCCAGCACAGGGACAACAGGATGATGGTGTCCATGTTCATTCAGGCTCTGGACCTCCAAGGCACCACTCCGTTATCCCCCCTGCTCCACCTGAGGAGTCCCACTTGCCTCCTAAACCCGGGCTTAACCAAAACCACCCGCTCCAGCCTAGCTGAGACTGTGCTCAGCAAAAATCCAGGCAGGTTTAAAAACCAGGCCCGTATAAAGCTGAGGAACTTGGGGATGGGGGCTGGATCCCACAGCCTGGATCAGGCCCTGAGGACACCCTCAGGCGATGGGAAAGAGCTGAGAAAGAGGGAAAAGGTGGATTTACAGACAGAGATTGGGTTGCTGAAGGACTCGGGAGGGAAAACAGCACATGAAGGTACAAAATGCAACAGCGAAAAAACAGGGAGTTGTTTTTGGGGTGGTGAAGTCACTGATGTTGAGTTTAACACCTTGTTGGATCCCTGTTGTCTTTTTGGAGTGTTGGAATTGCTGAAGACACTTGAACAGGCTCCAAATACACCTACTTGTGTGGGTCTTCAGAACTGCTGAAAACCCACGAACAGACCCCAAAGGCACCTTCAGGTACAAAATGCAACAGGAGAAAACACAGGGAGTTGTTTTTGGGGTGGAGAAATCACTGATGTTGAGTTTAACACCTTGTTGGAGCCCAGTTGTGGTTTGGATGTGTTAGAACTGCTGAAGGTCCTTGAACAGGCCCCAAAGGCACCTTCACCTCATGAAGGCACAAAATGCAACGGAAGAAACAGGGAGCTGATTTTGGGGTGGAGAAATCAGTACTGTTGAGTTTAACACCTTGCTGGTGTTGTGGTTTTGATGTGTTAGAATTGCTGAAGGCCCAAAAGAGACCGGGAACACCCACCCCACCACTTCACTTCCAAAGAACCCCCCCAAAGCCTTCTCCCAACTCCAGAGCGCCGCTCCAGGAACTCCACCCCCACTTACCCCTGGCTTCTTTGAACACCTCCAGAGCCTCAGGGTTCACTTTGACCCTTCCCGTGGATTCCATTCCCAAGGCCTCCACCTTGACCAGGCTGAGATCTGCCCCAAAGTCCACGAGGAGCCGGACGAAGGCGGCGTCGCAGCCGTGGCGCAGGACGGCGTCCAGCACGCACACCGGGGAGCCCCTGGAGAAGCCCTGCAGGTTGATTGGCCCACAGCAGTTGAAATCCGGGTTGGCTCCGGCCTGGAGCAGCAGCTGGAAGCACTGGAGGTTGTGGTAGGCAGCACTGATGTACAGGGGGCACACCACCAGCGTGGTGAGGGGCCGCGGGGAGTGGCCCCCGGAAGGTGGGTGGTGGTTCACGTCCACGTCCGCGCCGTACCTGCAGGGGCACAGGGAACTCAGGAGGGCTGGGAACACCCGGGGGATTCCCACACGGAGAGGGAGAACCCTGCCTGTCTTTGGCACCTCTGCGTCCCACCAGCCATGAACTGTCACCCTCAGGTGGGTCTGGAGGGGCTTCGGATTAGGGACAACATGTCCAGTGTGGGTGAATCTTCCAGAAGCAAAGCTGGTTTTCCCAGGACTTGGAAAGACGAAGAGCAGCTGGGAAACATCTTTCCTTGCCCTCCTGTATGTGGTTTGCATGGCCAGGTTTTGGTAGTGGGCGGGGCTCCAGGGGTGGTTTTTCCAGAAGTTTTTCCATATCCAGCAGAGGCAATTCCAGCTCCAGGATGAACCTGCCACTGGCCAAGGCAGAGCCCATCAGGAATGAGAGTAATGCCTCTGGGATAACAGATTTAAGAAGGAAAAAAGTAGTTGGAAGATGAAATTGGAGCAGTTCCTGAAGGTCTGACCCCATGGAATGTGACCCACATTGGGGTAGTTCCTGAGGGACTGACACAATGGAAGGACCTGGAGTAGCTCCTGAAGGACTGACCCCATGGAAGAGTGACCCACACTGGAGCAGTTCCTGAAGGACTGAACCCATGGAAGTGTGACCCACATTGGAGCAGTTCCTGAAGGACTGCCCCCGTGGAAGGACTTGGAGCAGTTCCTGAAGGACTGACCCCATGGAAGAGTTGAGACACTAATTCCATCTCCTTCCCACACAGCTTGGATGGGAAGAAGGAGGAAGCCACCCCAATCCCTAAGGAATGGCTGGTTTTAACCACTGCAGATCAAGCAAAGCTCTGTCCCTTCTCCCCACAGGGGGATAAAACGTTCCCTCACCCACCAATTCCCCTTCCAAAATTGCAAACTAGGTGCTCAGAGATCCTTCTGTCTTCCTAGACAGCATTATATTCCTTGCAGGAGCTGACAAAAATAAGGACAATCCCAGGGGACAAATCCTGCCTCGGAACAAGGCCAGTTCTTGCTGAAACCAGGAAATCTTTAACCAAATCCTTCAAGGCTGAGGGTGGAAAGAGTCTCAAGCACACCCAGAACCAGGGATGAGAGAACAAGAGCTGCAAATGGCACAAGGGTGGATTTTCCTCTTCAAATCACATTCCAGGAGCATTTGGATGAAGTGCCACTTCCATGGGGTGACCTCCTGAGCAGGGAGTAGCTATTCCTTCATTTCAGTCCTTTTTTCCCCCAAAATTCTCAGAGGAAAGCCTCAGTTCTGAGCAAAACCCCAAATTCTACTTTGTCAGAGTCAGACAGGCACCTGAAGCATCAGGGGGATGTGTCAGCTCTCCTTTTTCCTTGTTTTAACCTGGAAAAAGGATCCTCTCATCCTTGCCGGAACAGCCACTGCAACCCATCCCACTGCAAGCCACCTCTCCTCGAAATATTTCCACCAGCTGCCTTCTGAAACGGATCACCATCCCAGAGATGTGTGGATTTACTATTAATGGATACAATTCCACCTCCTCCTTGGTTCAGGAATGCTCAGGGGTCCCAACTGTGCTACAGCATGATTTTAAACCCATTATTAACCAGGTGAGGTTTAGACAACCTGAGCAGGTTGGCCTCTCTGGGGCCGAAAGATTTTCTTATATCCCAGGAAAAGTGTCTTCCCCATTGCATTCCCCCTGCCAGATCCAAACCCTCGGAGAGAGCTGCATTTTGAACTAAGTAACTCCCTGGATCTGTGAAATCCCTGCTCAGGGTTATTTGACATTTTGGGCAATCTGACAATTTGGTATTAACTGAGCAGCCCTGGGAGAGACATTCCCGAATAAAAAGGGACTGGACAAACTCCAGTTCATTTTTAAGCCTGAAAGTTTTCCAAAAATCTTGCCTTTAATATTGCTGGCAAGGTATCCCGAGGAGCAGACACATAAATCAAGGCCCCAGCTCTCCCTGGGCTGCTGAAATCCCATTTGCTACATTCCAGCCTGCCTGGGTGGATGGATCAGGGGAGGTTTTTGGGAATCAACAAGCACGTGGCACTGGGGACATCCTGCTCTCAGCTTCCCAGGAAGGGAGCAAGGAGGGGGGATTGTGTCCTATTTTTCCTCCTTGCCAGCTTCCTGAAAGCTGCACTTGGATGAAAACTCACTCCCCCACATGCAAAGAAGGGAAGAAAACCCTCAAGGGTTTGGAATTTTCTCTATCCTGATCCTTTGTTTGTTATTTTCCAGCATTTGAGGTCATAGAAGGGATTCCTTGATTTGGACTCTGTGTGAATCCAAGGAAATTTTCCCCTCTTTTCCTATTTCTCTGTATTTTCCCCCGGTGATCTCTCATTATTTGGCATCAAGGCAGTTGTCCAGCACGATCCCTTAGACAAAAATCTTCCCATTTAAAAGCAGGAATAATCAGGAAATGCCACAGAAAAAGCAATCCAGGTTCCCACAACCTACACCTTGATCCCACTCGCTGTTGGTGCTGCTGAGGGAGCTTCCAGAGGGACAGGAGGTCACCCATCACCCCATGAGGTTCTTTGGGGGATCCACCTCCCTCTGGAATTCAACTGGGAGTCGGGAGCTGGATCCTGTGGAAGATTTGGATGTGACTGAACTAGATGTGGATGCCCAGAACTAGAGACTCCTCTCGTGGGCTTTGATGAGGACAACAGGCATGGAAGTCACACCACAGGATACAGACCTGCTGCCAGCAGGGAATACAAGGATCTCCATTTGGGATCTCTCCACCCTCTCTCCTCCTTTCCATGTCTTTATCAGCTCCACCAGGCATGTGGAGGCTGAGAAAAGATCCCAAGGGAAGAAGAGAAAGGAGAAGAGCCACCCCTATGAAGGTCACAGCTCCCTGTCTCAAACACTGCCAAGGCCACAGAAGGAACTTTCCCTAAAATCAACCACCACAGGGGAATTTGGGATAAGCACAGAAAGGAGGAATTTGTGACAGGAAGTTGCCAATTCCAGGCCTGGTCAGAGAATCCAGAGAAAAATTCCCACCGTGGCAAATGGTGGGAAAGGAAGCAACTGCTCACAATGTATCACCCCAAATTATGGGAATACCTGTGACCACCCCCTGGATACCTGGAACTTGGACTGTCCAAAAGTGGTACCCTCAGAATGACTCCAGGACACCAGGGGAAAGCCCAGGGGGAAGAAGGTCCAGTGGGACACCGCTGGATACAGGTGGGGATGATCTCCTGCTTCCCTCTCTCCTTCTCCCCCCAAGCTCTTTTCTGCTGCTTTCCATCTCCCTCCCTCACATTTATTGCTCCGTGAAATCCCTGTTGTGGATTCGGCAGGGGGCCCAAAATCACCACATCTGCTCCCACACCTGGATTTGGGCAGAGGCACCTCTTGATAACCACACCTTGACAACCCCTGTCCCTCCTCTAGTCTGTCCCTGAGCTCCCACCTCATGATTTCCTGGAGGATTTCAGCCCCATAACCACCCCTGTCCCCTCCAGGCTGTCCCCAGCTCCCACCTGATGAGCTCCTGCAGGATGTCACCCCTGTCCCCTCCGGGCTGTCCCAAGCTCCCACCTGATGAGCTCCTGCAGGATGTCACCCCTGTCCCCTCCAGGCTGTCCCCAGCTCCCACCTGATGAGCTCCTGCAGGATGTCTGCCCGTCCCACTCTGGCCGCGTGGTACACGGGAGTGCTGCGGTGGTGCCGGCTGCCGTTGGGATCAGCCCCAGCTTCCAGCAGGATCTTGGCACACTCCAGGTGCCCGTTGACCACGGCTACATAGAGGGCCGTCTGTCCCTTGACGTCCACCAGGTCGATCTCGGCCCCTTTCTGCAGCAGGAAGTCCACGCAGGGCCCGTGGCCGGCGGTGGCCGCGATGCGCAGGGGGGTGCAGGGCAGCCACCCGCAGCACCACACCGACTTCTCGTTGATCCGGCTGCACCACGGGGAAAAACAGGGCTCAGAGAAGCCTTCCAGCTCCCAAAGAGGATGCTGGAACAGCCCAAACTGCCCCCTGGAAGACGGGCACCGCCCAGGCTCCCCAGGGCAGCGGCGGTGGTCCCAAGGCTGTCCCGTTTGGACAATGCCCTCAGGAACAGGGTGGGATTGTTGGGGTGGCCGGGGCAGGGCCAGGGCTTGGGTTTGGTGATCCCTTCCAGCTCAGGATATTCCACGATTTTTTTGGCACTTTTTAGCAGCCCTAAGAAGCTCCTGTCAATAACCTGAGAGGTGCTGCACGGAGACACAGCCGGGAGCAGTGCCTGGAATCCAGGCTTTCTCCCAGCTCTGCCCCAAAATTCAGTCAAAATCATCAATAAAGAATATAAAATACTGCCCTACTCCCTTCTGACAGGGAAATATCCCACATTGCTGTGGCTGCCCCACCCCTGGAAGTGTTCAAGGCCAGGCTGGAGCAACCTGGGATAGTGGAAGGTGTCCCCGCCCTTGGAAGAGGATGAGCTTTAGGGTCCCTCCCAACCCAAACCAGTTCATGTGATTCCATGACTCCATGAAATCAGCAGTGACCAAGCTGGGGATCACAACCATTTAATTCAAGCTGCTCCAAAGGGTGCAGAAAGTCATCAAAGCAGCAGGGAAATGGCAAGAGGACACAGGAGAAAGGGAGAAATGTATGGAAAATATAGGGATGCAGCTGTATCACAGCATCAGCAACATCCACGCTCAGCCAGGGACCACGGGATGACACAATCACCAATCCAGGGAAACTCAGTTTGGGAGATGCAGCCATCCTAAGTAGGCCATCCAACCCTTGTTGGATGGCTGGTTGGGGATAAGGGCCTTTCCCAATTTACTGAAGGAGATGGCTCTGGAAGAGGAGCGGTATAACCCCCCCCCATCAAGCCCTAAGCTGTCAAGTCTTAAAATCAAAGTGCTCCCTTTATCCTTGGAGATTTGGGGAACTCCAGATCTACCCCCACAATCACAGGCACCCCTTCCCTGTTCCCTCCATCCCCTGTGTGATGGTGCTGTGGGTCCAGCCCTCCTCTTCCTGTCAAACTGTGCTTTTTCATGCAAAAAAACCTCAGGCCAAGAGTCCAAAGAGCCCCAGCTGTCCAGAAAGAGGGTTTGGCTCATTCTCCTTTTTTGCTGAATTGACATTTTTTGGGGGGCCAGGACACATTTAGCCCTCTAAGCAGTTTTCTCCACGGTGCAGGAAAATTAATTAACTATCCCAGGGTTAGCACTGGGCAGAGTTTGTAACATGGGGTGTTTCGGGTTGATTGTAATCCCTTTTGTATGTTTTTCCCCATTATCCATGGGCTCCTGTTTTCATGGGATCCCATTCCCACCCTGATCTGAAAAGAGTTTGTGCACGGTCACCAAGCTCTGGTGTGAGATCTGTGTCCTGGGAGACCAGGGGGGATGACCTGGGGGGGGTGAATGGAGCATCCTCCCACCCTGACCCCTCTCGCACAAAAACCCTCATCCCTGGAAGTGTTCAAGGCCAGGTTGGAGGGAGGTGGGAGTTTAGTGGGAGGTGTCCCTGCCCATGGCAGGGGGTGAGACTGGATGAGCTTTAAGGTCCCTCCTGACCCAAGCCACTCTATGAAAACCAGGGTGAGATGGGGGGCCCTAAAGGTGCAGGCTGCGGAGACAGCGAGCAGAACATCCTTGGAGACACCTCTCCCAGAAAACCAGGGTGATTCGAGGGTTCCCAAAAGGCACAGGCTGTGGGGATGGTGAGTGGAGCATCATCCCACCCTGACACCTCTCCCATGAAAACCCTCATCCCTGGAAGTGTCCAAGGCCGGGTTGGAGCAACCTGGACTAGTGGAAGGTGTCCCTGCCCATGGCAGGGGGTGGGATGGGATGAGCTTTAAGGTCCCTTCCAACGCAGCCCACCCTGCGAACGCCGAGGTGCGATGGGGGTCCCCAAAAGGCGCAGGGACGCAGCATCGCTGCTGCCGCGGGACCTCGCTGTGCCCCCCGAGGGTCTCCCTGCCCTCCCCCCCGGCAGCTCCCCGGGCAGCTCTCCTCACCTCTGGAAGCTCTCGTCCTGCAGCAGGCTCCGCAGGGTGGGCAGGTCCCCCACGAAGGCGGCGTCGTGCAGCCGGGTGTCCTCGCAGTGCTCCAGGGGGTGGTCGCAGAACTGCTCCCGCAGCCATTCCTTCAGGTTCCGACCTGCGCTGGAGGGAGACACGGCGGGGAGCCGGGATGAGGCCCGGGGGGAGCCGGGATGAGCCCCGGAGGGAGCCGGGATGAGCCCCGCTTGTGTCCCCCGGCACAGTCCCCGAGCCCCCCTGCCCACGGTACCTGCCCGGGGCGGGCGGGGGGTCCCCGCCCTCCGCCATCTCTCCCCGCCGGCCCCGCTCGCCCTCTCTCCCTCCCTCCCTCCCCGTCCCCCTCCCTCCCTTCCCGGCCTGATTGGCGCCCGGCCGCTTCCTGCCTGGGCGTTAAGGTGGATTTTCCCGGCGCTCCGGGGGCAGCTCCCGAGCCTTTCCTCCTTCAGCGGGAGGAGCCGGCCGCGAGCGCCTCAGCATCCCTCGGGCGCCTGTTTTCCTCCGGGAATTGCGGCTCCTGCTTCCAGCGGCTCTCCCAGGAGCAGCTTGGGGGGTAAGACCCTTTCCTCATCTCCAGCCCGACCGTCCCCTGGCGCAGCTCCGGCCGTGCCCGCGGGTCCTGTCCTTGTCACGCAGGGGTCGGAGCTGCCCCCCGTGGGACCCCGAGGGGTCTCCGCTCCCTTCTCCAGCTGAACAATCCAAGTGCCCTCAGCCGCTCCTCATCTGGCTTCTTCAGACCCTTCACCACCTTCATGGCCTTTCCTTGGACACTCTGATAGCCTTATATCCTCCTTATTGCCCTGGCACTGAGCGTTTAAAACACGCCCTCGGTGCTGAGTGCCCGGGCTTGAGTGCCCGGTGCCAGCGGGGAATGCTGGGGCTGGTTCGAATCCATTCCCTTTGCCCGCTGGAACATCAAAAGCGGAGTGGGATAGACGGGAATTTCAGAAACCACCTTCCCCTGCCTGCAGCCCTTTTGCCGTTAGATGAGGCAAAACTAAGGCCGGGAATTCCTTCCTTGGTTTCCAACCCCACTTTACAGCTCTCTCCCCCTCCACGTCCACTCCAGCTGCCACGCACATCCCATGTCGCTCTGACAGCACAAGACAGACTAGAGCAGCTTTCCAGCTCCTGCATCCCTGACAGATTTAATGGGAATAGGTTTAATGGGAATAGATTTAATGAGAATGGATTTAATGAGCTCTTCCCTCTGCTAAGTGTGCCCAGCAACGGGGGGCTCATCCAGAGGAAAACACATGTTTGTCCATGGGTTTCTTATTTCCTTCTGAGCTGACTCTTCTCTTCTCCCACAGGGAAAGTGTGGACAGGGAAGAAAGGGGAGCAGAGGACACAGCAGTGTTTACTTGCATTATGGTTGTTGTCCCTGTGGACAAAGCAGAGCCCCAGAGAGGAATAAAGTGATGGATAAACAGGGCAGATGAAGTTGGGATCGCTCATGGTTTGAGGTTCCTTCAGTTCTACAGCAAATGCCTCTGTTCAACCACTGTCTCCTCTGCCATCCCCATGGTTATAAGTATTTATGTTCTTGCAGACATGCTGCAATGCAGGCAGAAGGTTCTTACATACCATATCCCACTGTATTTTCCAGCAGTTTATCTCCTGAGCCAGGCTTTTTTTCCCCTCTCCCTTTTTTTCCCTCATTAAATTCTTGTGAAAATCAGCCTATCCCAAGTTGTCCTCATGAGTTCTTGTATCGGGGCGATGGGAAAGGAGTGACTGTGCTGTCTCAGCCTCCAGCTCTGGAATTCCATGGGTGTTTAGGAGAAATCCCATGGAGAAATACACTAAACTGCCAATCTCCATGGCCAAGATGGGAAGGCAGAACTTTTGCAAACAGGTCAGCACTTGGCCAAGACCTTGGAAGTGCTTTTTCCAAGTCTGGAGAAATCACTTTGTCCAGCACACCTCACTGCTCCCACCAGATCCATCTCTCCCAAGCAGAGGGCACAGCCTGTGCTCCAGGAGGTTAGACTAGATGACCTCCTGAGGTTCCCTTCAGCCTGGGTTATTCCATCATCATCATCATCATAATAATAATAATAATCAGCCAGTGCTTCCTGGAACTGGGACAGTGGGGAGGTGCATGGACTGTTTCCAAAGGGAGCTGCTGCTTGTTTGAGGTCCCCCAGTGCCACCAGACAGTGGATCCAGAGGAACTGGGTCCTGCTGGCTCCCTGTCCTGAAGGACATTGCTTCCAGAACCCTTCCCTTGCCGCTCCCACCCCCAGAAGGGAGAAGCAGCCAGGGAAGGTGGGTTCACCGTGTCCCCCCTTCCCTCCATTCCAGCAGCGTGTTGTCCATGGGTGGCCTTTTGGGCTGATCCCACCCCGCCTGGAAATTGGAGCCTCCAGGACGAGGAGGAGGAGGCTTCCAGGATCTAAAATTAGCCACTTATCCAGCACAGCCAACACACACTGACTTGCCCCTCAGGCAGGACCTTTCCTCCACTTCCAAACCCTGAAGTGATAAAAAGAAACAAGGAAAGGAGGAAAGGAAGAGAAAAAGGAGGAAAGGAAGAGGAGGGAAGGAGGGAAAGAGGGAAGGAAGGAGGGAAGGAAGGAAGGAAGGAGGGAAGGAAGGAAGGAAGAAAAGAGAGGGGAGGAGAGGAGAGGGGAGGAGAGGTTCGGAGAGGTTCGGAGAGGGAGAGGAGAGGGAGAGGAGAGGGGGAGGAGAGAAAAAGGACTCCTCCTGATGCTCCAGAGGAGCCCTCAACCACCCCTCCACCTTCCCTCACCTTCCCACTGCCCTTCCTAAGCAGACACATCCTCCCACTTCCCATCCTCTCCCAATAGTGCTCCTCATTCTCCAGACAAAACAAGGAGTTCTCCCAGCCCGCTCCTACAACCAGGCTGCTGGATCCCACCTGGCACCCCTGAGCCCAGAGAGGATCCAGCCCATCCTCCGAGGCACCGCCAGAGAGTCCCTTCCCCACAGCACCTGGACATATTCCCTGCTCCCTGCTCCTGGCTCCACAGCCCTCCTCCCTTCCCATCTCCCGTGCCACACTGGAACATGGCTGAGGGGTGAACTCCTGTTCATCCACAGCTTTTACTCCCTAGAATGAAGGCAGTGGTTGCATTTAGTGCCAGACTGAGAAGGAAATGCGGCTTCTTCTCCCTAGTTCCTGGATAAACAAGGACATCTTGGGAGTCTCACTGCCAAGTGATTGAAAAGGACAATTATTTACACCCGGTGCTAAAACCAGTGGTTAGTTCCCCCACCACTACTCTTTTCCAGAGGCACCAACACCTTCTAAATCCCTCAAGGTTCCTCCCAGACCTGCCAGGCAGCAGAAAAAAAAAGCTGTGACAGAGTCCCAGTCACGGGAAAGGAAGAAAGAAAGGAAGGAAGGGGGGGGGAAAAAAATGCCGTGACCAGAACTGTAATTCACACTTAGCTCAGTCCATAAAACTTCTCCCTCCCTGGATCTAAGCCAGGGGCTTGGATTTTTAGTGAACTCTGAAGTGAAGTTGCCCTGGTGATAAATACATCTGGGGGGAAAGAGGGAGGGGGGGAAATCCTTCATCCCCCGTTTTTAGCACAGCTCAGGGGTTTTCTGGGGAATTTGTGTGGTGGACATGAGGACACACATTAAGAGGAAAACAGGGATGAGAGATGGGAGGAGGATTTAATTGCAGCATCCAGGCCTGTCTTTAGGGCTGTAACCACGGAGATGACAACAGGAAGGTTCCTTGCAGTGCAGGGAGTTAACTATGCTGCAAATGTGCCTTGATGGGCCTAAACAGGAGTGTCTGGAGGAAAAAAAAGGCAGGACTGAGGAGTTTTAACCTTCCAGCAGGTGTCCAGGTCTTTGTTCCTTCAATCCTGACCACGAGACTGTGGAGTGGAGATTACACCGTAACACCCCAGGAACCGCCGGGAGAAACACAGGTCATGGAATTGTAGAATCATGGAATAAACACAGGTCATGGAATTGTAGAATCATGGAATAAACACAGGTCATGGAATTGTAGAATCATGGAATATCCTGAGCTGCGAGGGACCCATAAGGACCATCCAGTCCAACTCCTGGCCCTGCCCAGGACACCCCAGCAATCCCACCCTGTCCCTGAGAGTGTTGCCCAAACATTCCTTGAGTTCAGGCAGCCTTGGGGCCGTGACCTGTTCAGTGCCCCTCCACCCTCGGGGGCAATAAAACCAGAAGCCTGGATCTGGATGGTCATGGATGGTCATGGATGGGGGATGCCAGCCCCAACATGGTCCCAAAGGAAAGTTTACAGTGGCTTCACCATGTTTTGTGGAAAAATGGTCAAAACCCCCGAGTATTTCCTACTGCCTGTGCCCAAACAGGGCACACACCTCTGATCCTTGGATTCTTCCTGGGTGGTATGTTAAGCCTTGACCATTGGATACCAGTTGAGAAGGAGACAGGACAATGGTTGGCCTACACATCCCTTTCATATCTCCCAGGAAGATTATGGAATTACTTGAGAGAGAGCAGGGTTCCATGGGATCACCTGAGAGAGTGCAGGGTTCCTTGGGATCACCCAAGGGAGCAGGGTTCCATGGGATCAGCTGAGAGAGAGCAGGGTTCCATGGGATCACCTCAGAGAGAGCAGGGTTCCATGGGATCAGCTGAGAGAGAGCAGGGTTCCATGGGATCACCTGAGAGAGTGCAGGGTTCCATGGGATCACCTGAGAGAGAGCAGGGTTCCATGGGATCACCCGAGGGAGCAGGGTTCCATGGGATCACCTCAGAGAGAGCAGGGTTCCATGGGATCACCTCAGAGAGAGCAGGGTTCCATGGGATCAGCTGAGAGAGAGCAGGGTTCCATGGGATCAGCTGAGAGAGAGCAGGGTTCCATGGGATCACCCGAGGGAGCAGGGTTCCTTGGGATCACCCGAGGGAGCAGGGTTCCATGGGATTACCTCAGAGAGAGCAGGGTTCCATGGGATCACCCGAGGGAGCAGGGTTCCATGGGATCACCCGAGGGAGCAGGGTTCCATGGGATCACCCGAGGGAGCAGGGTTCCTTGGGATCACCCGAGGGAGCAGGGTTCCTTGGGATCACCTGAGAGAGTGCAGGGTTCCATGTTTCTTTCCCATTCTTTTCCCATCATTTATTTCTGTGGAGGCCACGAAAGGCTCTGGCTTTAGAAATCCTTCCTCCTTCCCTCTGTTCTACCCTGGAGCACGAAGAACCCAAATCCAGTACTCCAGTCTCTCCATGTCTCCATCACGGGAGAGGATCCAGCCTGGACCTTGGCCACAGGTCCCCAGCTCATGGATCACGCGTGGTTGAAGGGATTTTCTCCCCTGGGGCATCACCAACAGACAGTTTGAGGCACCATCTCCAGCTTGAGGCAGGGCAGGAAAACACCCATGGAGTTTTTATCACCACTTTCCCAGAGAAACAGCCACCTGGAGCCTTCCTCTGATGGCAGACATGGGAATACCAAAGGAGAAACAGGCACCTCCTTTACCTCAGTCAACAAACCAAACACCTCCCTGCAGGCAGGTTACAAAAGAACATCTAATTTGCTGAGGACAACTTTCCATCCAGGGCAAAAAATCGCCCAGGAATGAGTCACCCAGGAATGTTTCAGTCCAACCTCTCCCACTCCCACCAGGGGATTTGCAGACAAAAGGGGTTTATTTGTATTTTTAGTAATTTTTTGCTCCCTTCCTCAGAAAATATTCAGATTTGGATGGGAAAACAAAACTGGAAAGGGTTTCCCCCCCCCTTTGTTTTTGCCCTTTGGAGAACTTCTTTCAGCACCTGCGTGGGATTGTCAGAAGAAAACTCGAGGAAAAGCAAGAGGGGGAAAAAAGAAAGAGCTGGGGAGGAGAAAAGCCCGTTTCCAACATACACAGCAGTTGGATGATCCTTGTGGGTCCTTTCCAACTCAGGATACTCTGTGATTCCATGTCCCTCACTCTTCCCATGAGGCCACCTCATCCCACTTCATCCTTCCCTGTAGCTGAGCACCTTGAACATGGAAGCTCCTGAGAAAAAATGTCAAATCCAAGGCAACACCAAAGCTCTCTGAGACCCCATTCCCCCTCCTCAGTGGGAAGAAGGAGATTTCCTACCCCCATGTCCTGGAAAGCAGAGCCAGAGGTGCTGGAAAAGGCACTCAGCTCCCATTCCAAAACACACCGAGGGCTTGCAGTAGAAGCTTTGGAATTGCGACTGGGAAGGTCAAAATGAAAGAACTAAACAGATGAGTTGGTTTTAATCCGATGCTTTGGAAAATCCCTTCCAGAATGGGAATTACAGGCCAGGAGAGACCTGATTTCCCAACACTACTGCTGCTGTGACACATCCTCTGCCTGGTGGCTGGAGGTCTCTCAGGCAAGGAAAGTGGTTTATTCTGGGAATGTTCAGTGCCAGGCCCAAAAGGAACAGGACTCACCATGAACCCCTGGCGTTGGAATGCATCCAAATTTTCTGCATCTTTCCAAATTTTCTGAATCCATCCATCCTCGCTGCACCTCAGAGTCCCAAACCAGTGTTTGTCTCCTGAAACACAGAGAGAGGAACCAGTGAAGATTTCACGGGAATCATGGAATGGTTTGGGTTGGAAGGGACCTTTAAGGATCATCCATTCCCACCATCAAACAGTGAAGATTTCATAGGAATCATGGAATGATTTGGGCTGGAAGGGGCCTTCAAGGATCATCCATTCCCACCCACCAAGACATTCCAGGTAGTCCAGCCCCATGCCCAGGGGTGCAGCTCCCGGGGACTTGGGACTGCTGTCTCACTGAGGCCCAGTTTGGTGTCACCAGCAATGAGTAATGAGGCCAGAAAGCAGAGCTGATGCCCAAAGGCTCAGCAGGGCTGAAAGGCTCCTCTGCTCCCCCCTGGCAGCACCTGCACCTCCCCATTCCTTCAGAGGACATTCCTTTGGGAATGCCCCACCTGCTGCATCCAGCCAGGAGCAGGCACTGGGAGCTCCCTGGTGTTGGACATTTCTGGAGAGAGCACGTTGCAAAGGCGGGGGGTTCTGTCAGAAGGTAGAAACCTCCATGACCTGAGCAGCAAGGACTAGGGGAAAATAGGAGCCTGCTCCATAATATGCTCCCATAAACAGGTGGATTAACCCAGCTCTCCAGGCTGTATCTGCCTTGCAAGTGCTTGACTTTCCCACCTTAACACTGGGCTCGTTTTCCTAAATTCCCTGGAAAGGCAGCCGGCTGTGCAGTAAGAGGAGCCCGGTGTTGAGTGAGTGCAGCACTTCCCGGCTGCCCCAGCGTTCCCGCTCAGGCACAAGGGGCTCTTTATGGAGCTCTCCGGGCACGCAGGACCTGCAGCAGCAGAGAAAAATAAACATCCTGCTCTTGGAAGTGCCTCCCGCAATTTCATTAAGCTCCCAAGGAGCCGGATGTGTATTTATTGAATTGAGCCTTCAGAGAAGCAAAAAGGGGGGGAAAGAAGCCCCTAGGCAGTTCCAGGGAAGGGGGGATTTAAGGGAACTAAACAAAGCCAAGAACTACCCCCCCCCCTCCTACTCAAACCCCAGTGCTTAAAAAAAATAGACCCTAAAAACCGTGATTTCCCTGGACACGCCGCGGGTTTGGAACAATTACCCGGAGAAAGGTGTCTTTGGGAAGGAGGGACGCAGGAATGCCGAGCGGGTTTCCAGGCAGCGGCATTCCTGCCTATTTTACAGCGGGCTCTGCGCTCCGAGGTGGGGTGTGAACATAAAACACTCGCCCAGTTGTTTTCCCGACTCCTGGCCCGGCTCCCACTGGCGGTGGCAGAGCTAATTAAGGAGTGACAATTAACTCTCCACTCCACACGTTCGACCACCTCCCTCTGCTCCCGGGGAAGGGGGTTCTGCTTCAAGGGATTTGGAAAAGATCATTTTTCTCTGCTTATTTTGCCTCTCTTGCTAAGTGGAAGCGGCTCCAGAGTTGTTTAAAATGGCTCAGTTACCAAATATCAGCTCCCAGGCTTGTGGCTCCCTGAGGTCATGGCCTCCCCATCCCTGGAAGTGTCCAAGGACTGGGCTTGGAGCAACCTGGGACAGCGGGAGGTGTCCCTGCAAATGGGATGAGCTTTAAGGTCCCTTCCAATGCAAACAATTCCACGATTCTATGAAAAAACAACCCTGAGTGTTGTGCTGGTCCTTCTTCCAGCCCCTCCTACCAGTGATGCTTTTAACAAGTGACCCAAATTTCCTCTTTCTCCACTCAAAACTGGGTCACGGAGTGGGGATATGTCAGAAATGTCCTCCTGCTGTGCTTGAGAGACACAGCAGATAAAATCTGAGGGACAGAGAGATGTTTGATTTGTGCCCAGCACAGCAACAGAGCAATAAAACCCCATCAGAGGGCTTTTAATGCTGCTACGAAGGGGCAATTTTGGCTTTGAGAATCATGGAATGCTTTGGGTTGGAAGGGAATTTTTTGCTTTTAGCTTATGGCCCTACTGGGAAAGAAGAAAAGGCGAAAGGGATGAATGAGATGAAACCCAAAAGGTACCAGATCAGGGGTGTAGTGGATTCTGTGGCTGGGGTTTGGTAGCGGGGGAGCTACAGGGGTGGCTTCTGTGAGAAGCTACCAGAAGCTTCCCCTGTCCCATGGAGCCAATGCCAGCCGGCTCCAGGAGGGGCTTCCTGCCACTGGCCAAGGGTCAGCCCATCAGGAGTGACAGTAATGCCTCTGGGATAACATATTTAGGAACAGAACATTGTGGCACAGAGAGAATTCCAGCCAGGGAGGAGTGGAGTGAGGACACAGGAACAGCAATGTAGACCCCAAGGTCAGTGCAGAAGGAGGGGCAAAATATATATTGCTTTAGTCCTCTTATTTTGGTTCTCTTGGTATTTATTTTTTCTTTTCCCTTGGGGGGGAAGCTTTTGCTGTGGTGTTGGGGACTTAGCAGGGAGCCAAGCTTGAAACCACCGCAGTCGGACTGGCAATTTCTGCATAGGGCTGAAAAAAGCGAACAAAAGCCCTTTCCCTCAGGAAAGAAAGCCTACAACCTTTGGGTTTCAGGTGCAATTGGTGGGCCAGACTGGGCACTCCATGGGCAGTAAGAGCTTTCTGTGGCGGTACCTTTTGTCTGGGAGGAATCTTCGTCCGAGTTCAGTTTTGGGAGTGGGACTGGCAATTTCAGCACAGGGCTCCGAAAAGCCAACAACAGCCCTTTCCCACAGGAAAAAGCCTTTACCTTCTGGTTTTCTGGTGCAGTTGGTGGGTCAGCCTGGGCACTCCACGAGCAGCAAGAGCTTTCTGTGGTGGCACCTTTTGTCTGGGAGGAATCTTTGTCCGAGTTCAATTTTGGGAGTGGGACTGGCAATTTTAGTGCAGGGCTGAAAAAAGGGAACAAGAGTCCTTTCCCACAGGAAAGAAAGCCTGTAACCTTTGGCTGTTAGTTGTAGTTGGTGGTCCAGCCCAGGCACCCCATGGGCAGCAAGAGCTCTCTGTCCTGGAACTGTTTTCTGGGAGGAATCTTAGTCCATGTTCAATTTTGGGAGTTGGACTGAAAATTTAAGCACAGGGCTCAAAAAAGAGAATAACAGCCCTTTTCCCCAGGAAAGAAAGCCTGCAACCTTTGGGTTTCAAGTGCAGTTGGTGAGCCAGCCCAGGCACTCCATGGGCAGCAAGAGCTTTCTGTCCTGGCACCTTTTATCTGGGAGGAATCTTCGTCCATGTTCAGTTTCGGGAGTCTGACTGGCCTTCCACACTGCACACCTGGGCAAGTGTTGCTGAGCACAAGGGCCCTTTTCTCCCTCTTCCCAGACGCCCTGTGGACACCGGGCACCCAAAAAAAGCTCCTAGGCCTCTGCAGATGACAAGATTTATTTAATATTCCTATGCTAGGAATATAGGAAGGGCTTGCGGAGAAGAGGCGTCTTCCCCACAAGCTCAGGTGGCCCCAACAGACAGAGCTGCCTGCATCAGCTCTCCACACAGCTACCGCAGCACAGGCACACACAGCCCCACACAGAAGGCCGGGTACTCCATGCCCTGCAGAGCTGGTCTTGGAGCTGCTGGAGGTAGGGAGCTCTCTGTACAGCTCTAAGGAAGTTGATGTTTTTAAGTGCCAGGTTTGAGACAGTGGGACTGCTGTCATCTGTCGTGGCTTGAAGGGCTGGAACAGAGAGGAACAGAGACAAGGTCAGAGCCCGGATCGGTGGGGACCCGAGGAGCCCCTCCTGCCAGGGCCATCCCACCCAGCTCTTGCTGTTGCCAGGAGGGAGCAGGGCCCAGTGGGATCAGCCAGGAGGTGCTGGCCACCAATACCCCCCGTGCCCCCGAAATCTCTCTCTGCTCTGACCACGCTGCCCCTCGTCCGGGCAGGGAGCAGAGCCCTGCGCAGCCAGGGCAGGATTGCAGCTCCCTGCCCCGGGCTCTGTGCTCCCCTCACCAGCCCCACTGCCCTCACTCACCATCGATGACGATCTGCAGCTCTACCCACTGTCCCCGCAGGTACCTGCCGGCGATCCCTGGGAACACAGATCCTGTCAGGGCCCCAGCGGCACAGCTCCCCCCCGGTGGCGCTGCCGGCCCGGCCACGCACCCTCCTGCCCTGGCAGAGCTGAGCCCGGGGCCTTCCCGCCTCGGGACTCCCCAGGGCTGGGTTGGCACAGGGCAGCAGCCACCAGGGCACTCGGGGCCCCCCAGCACATCCCTCGGGGCTGGGGCCGAGCTGCAGCGGGGTGGGGAGGGACCTTGTGGCTCACCCATGAACTTGACGGCCGCCTCTCGCACGGGCTCCTGTGGGCTCTCCAGGTACGGCAGGGCCTGGTGCACGTACTTGGCCACTCTGCTCCGGTCCTTTTTCAGCTGCAGAGAGTGGAAGGGTTGGCTGGGGCTCTGCCCCTTGGCCGGGCGCTGCCTGCGCCCAGCACTGGCCTCCCCTGCCCGCACAGCCCTGAGGCCCGGGCAGCAGCCGCTGGGGCCGGCTTTGGAGGGAGCAGAGGGCCGGCTGCTCCCCGGCAGCCGCGGGGCCGCCCTGCCCCACAGCCCAGCTGGGCCGGGGCTCCAGCGGCACCCTGGCTCGGGGGCAGAGCAGCCCGCAGAGGAGCCCGCACGCCCCAGGCAAGGCAGCAGCGGGTGGGGCGCAGGCTGCTGTCCCGCGGGCGGCTGCAGCAGTGGGCAGGGGCACAGTGCCGGCCCCGCACTCTGGGCACTGGGGACTGCGGCTTTGGGGTCGTCCTTACCAGGCACTCACTGAACCTCCAAGGCTGCTCTGTCTTCAGCAGCTTCAGGAGATCCCTCCTCTTCAGGAACCACACTGCACGAAGCAGCGCTTCCCGAGAGGCCTGCAGAGCAACAGAGACCAGGACATGGCATCGCAGCCCAGGGCACGGGACCCATGTCCCTGGACCTAGGCCAGTAGGAGGCTGGAGCCCAGAGCCCACGATGTGCCAGGACAGGAGGCAGCCCAGCCCCCTCCCATGGGACACCAGAGCCCAAGAGTCCCCACCTTTTTCACGACTGGGTTCTCATCGTGCCAGTGGAAGTAGAGCGGGAGCAGGCTCAGGCACACGTGTGGCTTCAGGGGTCTCTTTCTCTCTGTGAGTGTCATCACACGTGTGAAGATGACCATAGAGCCCTCCCGCACACTACTGTCCTCCTGGTGGAAAGAAAGAAAAAGACCTCAGCATCAGCTTCTCCAGGCCCCACCGGGCACAGACCTGAAAATCCACAGGGCACTAAGTTTCCCAGCAGCACCCAGAGCCCGTGGTGGGGGCACAGAGCCTTACGTGGTCAAAGAGTGGCCGGAGCGCCTCAGCCAACTGCAGGCCGGTGGGGGTGGATATTAGGGGGTCTTTGCTGTGGACCCTCTTCTGCAGCTGTGTCCAGACACTGCTCCAGAGCACATTGTCGAGCACAGAGAGTGTCATCCAAACCATATCACTGTCTGCATCCCCCAGGAGCTGCACCAGGCTGTCTGACAGGCTCCAGATGCGCTTGGCCTGTGAGGAACACAAGGTTGTGCTGTGAAGCCATGAACGGCTGCAGCCCCAACCCCGCTCCAGCAGGACAGCCCCACGTGCTGCCGCGGGGCCCGGAGGCCAAAGGCCTGTGCCAAGGGACTCGGGCAGCTGAGCAGGGAGGCAGCAGAGCTGGGAGCAGCTGCCACAGCTCCCGAAGCCAGGCCAAGCCCAAGAGACTGTGTTACCTAGCCCCACGCTGCCCGCACGGCTTCAGCCCCTTCCCCCTCCTCACCATCCCAGAATCCTGGCTGAGCACCAGGAGCCCTCGGAGTGCCAGGCAACGCCTCTCTGGGCACTCGCTCCAGAGGTGCCTTGAAAGGCTCTGCAGAACGCTGCCTCCCCAGTCACGCATGTCCAGGCAGTCCAGGACCTGAAAGGCACGGAGCAGTGACGGGGTGCCCGGCCAGCAGGAGCCCAGACCCGCACAGGGCTGGGCCCTCCAAGAGGCCAGAGAGGTGGAGGCAGCTCGGTGAGGCAGCGCTCGCCATCAGGCTCACCTCCACAAGGAATGCCATAGCAGGGAGGTCCCAGCACAGCTCCTCCCTGCTCAGCAGCTCCAGCAGGTGGAGTGTGATGCGGGAACACAAGGGGCTGGAAACACGGCGCATCTCCCTGACAGGGGGAAAAAGGCACCACTGACTCCAAGTCGGGTGGGTAAACCTTTCCCAGGACGGACTCACAGGGCCCTGGTCTTTCCCCACCAACCCAGGAGGGATCGAGGGCACTCTGGGAGGCAGAAAGGACAGGCAGAAAGGACAGGGACAGCGGGGACAAGGGGGTCTCACCTGGCCAGCAGAGCCACTGCGTAGCGGCGGCTGCGAGCATTGAGGAGCCTCGCCCAGCCACGACTGTGGTCCACTGAACGCACCACATCCTCACAGTGCAGGCAGCAGAGCAGGGCCTTCATGCTCAGCACTGCAAACCTGTGTGCAGAGCAAAGCCCAGGTCATGCTGGGAGCCCTGAGCCACCCCAAGGGCATGGGAGGGAGGGGAGGACTGGGATGGAGCACCTGTTGGGGTCAGTGGGAAGGTCGTGTTCCTCCCGGCATCCCCTCCAGAAGCTGTCGACCTCCTCGGACATCTGCTCTGTGGTGATGAAAACTTGGAAGAGCAGAGCCACGAGGAGATGGGGGGAATGCTCCATCAATGGCCCTGGGCACTGGGGCTCCTGGACAATCGTCCACAGTGCCAGAGTTGCCTGCAAAAGACAAACCACCCGGACACAGTGCTCAGTGCCCGGACTTCCATGTGGCAGGGCCCAAGCGTGGGAGGGGGAGGCCAGGAGAGACTCGGGGGGAGCGCCCAGCCTGGTGCCCCTGAACCTGCTGCTAGCCCACATTTCCAGCCCAGTGCCTGCAGGGAGATGGGCAGGGAGATGCCGTGCTGGGGGAGGATGGAGAGCTGCCAGAGAAGCAACCTGGGGGCAAGCAAAGCTTCCAGAAACTCACAGCCAGGGCAAAGACATTGGTGTTGTCCCCATCGGAGGTGCGGGTGCTATGCCATGGCCAGTCCTCCATCACAGAGAGCAGCGTTGGCAGCACCTTCTCCAGGGTCGTTCCCGACGAGGCGATGGTCCTCCACATGACTGCAGCAGCTCTGTGGAGTCAGAGCTCTGGGTCAGGGGGCTCTCGAGCACAGTGCCCTGACCTGGGCAGCTGCAGGGGCCGGGTGACAGAGCCACAGTGCTTTCAGGGGCAGGGGATGATGGGCTCTAAAGGCTGGTGAGCCCTCAAGGCAGGTGGGGCCCATACCTGTCACATGAGGGGGCACAGCGCAGGAGGCTGATGGCGACATCCGCAGGGTGTGCCTGGGTCAGTGCTAGAAGGGTGTTATCCAGCACGTGCCCAGCAGACACATTGGCAGTCAGCCACCAGTGGATGGACCTCACCACAGCTGGCACCTGGAGGGGACGCAGGAGAGAGCTGGAGAGCTGCCAGAGGGAAAATTCCCCACCTTCCCCCAAGAAGTGCTTCCCTTCCCGCCACACTGTGCCGGCCTCAAAGGCTGAGGGGCCCAGCAGACCCAGCTTGAGGGGCCACACAGTCCCTGCCCACAGGCTGCTTACTTGAGCAGAGACAACTCCCTCATCAAGAACGTCCACACTGGGAGCATCAGGCAGGTGCTGAACGGGTGTCCTGTCAGTGTCTGTGATGCCCTCAGTTGTTGCACAATCAGCCTTGCCCTTGAGCTTGGTCAGGTTGGGCTCAGGCTGTGCCATGACCTCGGATGGTGAGGTCCTGGCCTTTCTATGCTGAATGGGACTGGAGTTCAGCAATCTCTGCAGGAGAACGAAGGGCAGGGAAGAGAGGGATGTGCCATGGAGAGCTCTGACAGCGGTGCCAGGCTGAGCAGGGACAGCAGGTCCAGCCCAGGAGGCCGTGGCTGCAGGTACCTGTGCTGCCCTGCGGAAGCGGTCACGGGCACGGTCCTGGTCTTGTGTCCGGTCCCGGCCTGGATCTGGCAAAGAGCGAGCGCGGTCAGAGCTGAGGGGCTGCGGGACAGGCCGGAGAACACGGCCCAGCCCTGCGCTCCACAGGCAGGGCCGGCCCTGGGATGCCCAGTGCATGGATCAGCCCTGGACCCTCTTCCACCCTCCCTTTCCCTGGGCATGTCCATCGGAGATGGATGGGATGGGATGGGATGGGATGGGATGGGATGAGGCCCATCTGGCTGCAGCCACCAGCCCTGGGGCCCAACTCTGCCACTCACCCTCCTGCAGGGGCTTGGACTGCTCCACCTCCTTAGGGTGTTGTGCTGGGGCAGGCCCAGGGCTTTCCTCCTCCTCCTCCATCCATGCCACCTTGGGCACACTGGGAGGTCTCTGCTCCATGTCTCTGGCTGGCTCCATGGCTACCTGCAGGAGAGATGGCATGGAAAAGCTCTGGGTGACCAAATCCTGCAGAAGTGCCTTGAAGTCATCTGCAATAGAGGAGTGTTCAGAATGCTCCAGGCCATCAAGTCCCACAGTCTGGCCTGGAGGGGACATAGGGCAGTTCAAGAGCTGCCAGAGGGAGCAACTTGCCCACTTTCCCCTGAGAAGTGCTTCCCTTCCCACCACACTGTGCTGGCCTCAAAGGCTGAGGGGCCCAGCAGACCCAGCTTGAGGACTCACACAATCCCTGCCCACAGGCTGCTTACTTGAGCAGAGACAACTCCCTCATCGAGAACTTCCACACTGGGAGCATCGGGCAGGCACTGAACGGGTGTACTCTCAGTGTCTGCAATGCCCTCAGTCGTTGCACTGTCAGCCTCGCCCTTGAGCTTGGTCATGTTGGGCTCAGGCTGCGCCATGACCTCGGATGGTGAGGTCCTGGCCTTTCTACGCCGAACAGGATTGGAGTTCAGTAACCACTGCAGGAGAATGAAGGGCGGGGAAGAGAGGGATGTGCCATGGAGAGCTCTGACAGCGGTGCCAGGCTGAGCAGGGACAGCAGGCCCAGCCCAGGAGGCCGTGGCTGCAGGTACCTGTGCTGCTCTGCGGAAGCAGCCACGGGCACGGTCCTGGTCTTGTGTCCGGTCCCGGCGTGGATCTGGCAAAGAGCGAGCGCGGTCAGAGCTGAGGGGCTGCGGGACAGGCCGGAGAACACGGCCCAGTCCTGTGCTCCACAGGCAGGGCCAGCCCTGGGATGCCCAGTGCATGGAGCTGCCAGGGATCAGCCCCAGGCCCTCCCCCCCCTCCCTTTCCCTGGGCATGTCCACAGGAGATGGGATGAGATGGGATGGGATGGGATGGGATGGGATGGGATGGGATGGGATGGGATGGGATATGATGGGATGGGATGGGATGGGATGGGATGGGATGAGGCCCATCTGGCTGCAGCCACCAGCCCTGGGGCCCAACTCTGCCACTCACCCTCCTGCAGGGGCTTGGACTGCTCCACCTCCTTAGGGTGTTGTGCTGGGGCAGGCCCAGGGCTTTCCTCCTCCTCCTCCTTCATCCATGCCACCTTGGGCACACTGGGAGGTCTCTGCTCCATGTCTCTGGCTGGCTCCATGGCTACCTGCAGGAGAGATGGCATGGAAAAGCTCTGGGTGACCAAATCCTGCAGAAGTGCCTTGAAGTCATCTGCAATAGAGGAGTGTTCAGAATGCTCCAGGCCATCAAGTCCCACAGTCTGGCCTGGAGGGGACATAGGGCAGTTCAAGAGCTGCCAGAGGGAGCAACTTGCCCACTTTCCCCTGAGAAGTGCTTCCCTTCCCACCACACTGTGCTGGCCTCAAAGGCTGAGGGGCCCAGCAGACCCAGCTTGAGGACTCACACAATCCCTGCCCACAGGCTGCTTACTTGAGCAGAGACAACTCCTTCATCAAGAACTTCCAGACTGAGAGCATCGGGCAGGCACTGAACGGGTGTGCTCTCAGTGTCTGCAATGCCCTCAGTCATTGCACCGTCAGCCTCGGTGGTGAGCTCAGGCAGCGCCGTGTTGGATTTTGTCCCGTCATCGGTCACCGCGCTGTCACAGTTTGCTGGGCCGTCAGTCAACGCGGTGCCGACTTCAGGGTGCGCCTTGAGCTCACTCGCCGTGGGGTCAGGCTGTGCCGTGACCTCGGCTGGTGTGATCTTGGTCTTTCTATGGCGAATGCCCAAGAATTTCAGAAAGGCCTGCAGAAGAACAGAGAGCAGGGAAGAGAGGGATGTGCCATGGAGAGCTCCGACAGCAGTGCCAGGCTGAGCAGGGACAGCAGGCCCAGCCCAGGAGGCCGTGGCTGCAGGTACCTGTGCTGCCCTGCGGAAGCAGCCACGGGCACGGTCCTGGTCTTGTGTCCGGTCCCGGCCTGGATCTGGCAAAGAGCGAGCGCGGTCAGAGCTGAGGGGTTGCGGGACAGGCCGGAGAACACGGCCCAGCCCTGTGCTCCACAGCCCCGGGATACCCAGTGCATGGATCAACCCTGGGCCCTGTTTCCCCCTCCCTTTCCCTGGCCATGTCCACAGGAGATGGGATGGGATGAGGCCCATCTGGCTGCAGCCACCAGCCCTGTGGCCCAGCTGTGCCACTCACCCTCCTGCAGGGGCTGGAACTGCTCCACCTCCTCAGGCTGCTGTGCTGGGGCAGTCCCAGGGCCTTCCTTCTTCATCCGAAAGGGTTTGAGCAGGCTCGGGCGTCTTCCCGCCATCTCACAGGTGCTTGGAGGGCACCTGCAAGGGAGAGACACCTCGGAAGATCTCTGGGTCACCAAGTCCGGCAGGCTGCCCTTGAAGCCACCTACCGCAGGGATTGGAGACTCCGGAAAATTTCCGGGTCACCAATCCTGTGATCTGGCCTCAAGGGCACCTGAAAGAGATAAGCCTAGGAAACAGTATAGGTTGTCAAGTCCTGAAGTGTGGCCTCAAGGGCAGCTGCCGCAGGGATTGGGGACACTTCGCAAAAGCTCCGTGTCACCAAGTCCCGCGGTCTGGCCTCGAGGACGCTCGCACAAAAGAAACGCCTTCAAAACGCTCCGGGTTAGCAAGGAACGAGTTGGCTGCACGGGGGCTCCGCACAGCACCGCTCTGTCCCGTCCGTCCCGTCGCACGCTCCGAGGAGCACTGAGGCGTGGCCACCTCACCACCACTACTATGTCCTCACGTGTCACAAAGGGCCCTGTGACACCCTGCCCCGTGCCATCCCACCGTGTCACAAAGGGCCCTGTGACACCCTGCCCCGTGCCCTGGGGACTCCCCCAGCCCGGCCAACCTGCCTCAGGTCGGAAGGAGTCCATTCTCCAAAGTATCTAAGACAGCTGGACACGAACTTTAGGCACAGCTGAAAAACTAAGCAAACCCTCCCCTGCTGTGCCTGCCCACGGCAGCAGAAGGAGCCCCCTCGGCTGCCGACGCAGCCGCAGCGGGAAGGCCACGGGGCCTCCACACGAGCTGGCACGGGCTCCTTGGGAGAAGTGCCGGCTGGTGGCCCTCCCGAACACGGGGCTGTGACACACAGAAGGAACGTGGGGGCGAGGGTACCAATGTTGCTCCCACCCCATTGCCCGGGGCTGCACCAAAATCAGCAGCTCTGGCAAGTCCTCGCCCAAGGAGACCTGCCACCGCCCCCAGTCCTGGCAGGGCTGGTGCCCGTCTCCTGCCCCACAGAACTGTGCCCCTGGGGCACTTCTCTGCCCCAGGGCAGCCAAAGTCAACGGGCACTGATGTCTGTGCTCTTGCAGGGGGCTGTTGGGAGCGGCAGCTGGAGCAATTGGTGGCCCTGCTCGGCAGCTGTCAGAAGGCAGAAACACTTTCTCCTTGTGGGAATGATTTTTTTTGGGCAGCACAAAACTCCCCTCAGTTGCTGAGTTTTGCAGGAAGATTAGATTGGTCAGACATCCTGTCAAGTTTCCTTGTGTTATTTGGACTTTTTTCTTGCATTCTGCAAAATAAAAGCTGCCCAGTCTGATGTTCAAAGCTCCAGTTGCTGTGTGTACGACTGTGACTCCCAGCTGATAGCCAGGGCATTGGGGAAAGTGGAGGGGACAGGGAGAACTCAGGGGTGCAAACGTGTTCCGTGTCTCTGATTAAGGTGCCAGCCTCCTGAAGGAGCAGCCAAGACAAGTGCTGGCAGCAGACGTCTTTTGCCGGTTACTGCTCCCACGTGGACACAGGGCACACGTGTTGCCACGGGTGCAGAACACTTGATGCAAGAGCAGTGGGGGGCTGTGCATTGGCAGGGAATGGGCTCCAGCAAGGCCAAGGTAGGATCCTCTAGCAGCAAAACCTGAGCTTGTGAACTGGGCCATCTTTGCAGCAGACAGCACAGTGCTGACTTCTCTACATCCCTGAATCTCAGCCATATGAGTCCCTGCTTTGCTACAGTTTCTGCTGCTTTTTCCTTTGTTCCCAGCTCACAAGCTCAGGTTTTGCTGCTAGAGGATCAGGCTTTGGTCTTTCCATTCCCTACCAATGCATGGCAGGGGCCATAAGCAGCCCCCGGGCAGCCCCCTGGTTCCCTGCCAGCCGGCTGCTCTGGTGCTTGCCACTCTCTTAGAGCCTTGCACAAATCCCATAGGCCATGAGAGGTTACGTGGGTACAGCGTGGGCACCCCATGCCTCCTGCCTCCACTGCAAAACAGGGAAGGGACCTTCCTGCAGGGACCAACCCACCGACATCCCAGCTCCAGAAAGGCAGAGAGCTCTGCCAGTGTTTGCTATAAATCCCTTGGGCTCAGGTCTAATTGCTAAGATGGAATGATACGTTACTGGGGATTTCAAACACCTCTACTAAAAAAGAACTCTGGGAAACAGTACAAGGGAATCATGGAAAGAGCTCTGGGATCCTGTGTGAGGTGGGAGAAAAAAACGCTTCTGCCAGAAACAAAGGATTAAAACCCATGAAGGGCTTCAACTGCAGCTTGTGAAAATACCATGTTTAGAACATTGGATCTAAGAGACATCATAAATAAATATCTAATCCATGATAGAAAGCCAAACCAGCTTCCTTTGACATACAAAGCATGTTTTAATAATATATATATTAAAAGACAGTCACCAGTCCCTGGCTGTTGCTGGAATCCGTAGGTCTGGAATGGGATTCCCATTGCCTTGATCAGCTCAGCCCAAGATTATTTAGATTTTCCAAGCCCTTTACTGGCACAGACTCCCCCCAAAGCTGAGCCTAGCCAAGCTCAGCCATTTTCAGCACCACCGACCCCCCAGATCAATGTCCCATTTTCGAATTCATGCAGATTGTCAGGAAGAAATTCCAACAAAGCTGCCTTTCATTCCTGCCTTTCGTGGGCCATTTGGTGAAGTACTTAAAGGGGGTCAGGGCCAGACCTGTTTTAATTGCATCCTGGGAAGTTATTTTTCCAAGGAGAAATATTTCTGGGGGGGGGAAATGTCCATAAAAGTAACTTTAGGAGCGATGCAGCTTTGTGGGTGTTTCCTGGAGGAAATCTGGGCGGTTGAAATCCCAAGTTCCGACACTTTTCCACAGCAGCAGGGCCCGGAGGATGCTGCTGCCAGCCCCCCAAATCTGGCTAGGTCCTTTGGGAAGGGAATTCCTCCTGCAGTTGGGAGTCATGGCTCGGCAGGATTGGCCTCCTCCCTCTCAGCTGGGTTTTCCTTGGGGAGGGATCCCGAACACCCCCAAACAGGGCCGCTCCAGGTGGGGATTTCCGTGCCCTTGGTGGTGGTGGGAGTTGTTTTTCCCTTCATCCCTTTAACCAAGGGCAGCCCCGCAGGAGCTTGGCAGGAGTTTCCCAGCTAGGAGAAGGGAAATTCATGGATTTCACAGCTATCAAAGTGAGAGTTCCCAGTGGATCCTCCAGGAGGGGCCTCAGGGTTTCTTCCTTTTCCTCAGGAAGCGACAACGCTGGAAACTCCAACCCATGATCACTTTGTCCCCCTGAAATTCCTCAGTTTTGGAGCTCTCACCTCTTGTTTCACCTTTCAACTTCATCCTGATCCCCAGGGAGCGCGGAGCTGCACCAGAAGAGCACCTTTCCTCACCTGAGGAGACGGGCTTAGCTTCCAAGGCAGCTGAGGGAAGGCAAAAGCAGCTTTTCCTATGGATAACAACAAAGAATTGGACACTCCAGAGTGTCCAGGGAGGGGTTTCCAGTCCCAAATGTGACTGGGTTGTCCTTCCCAGCCTGGGTTCCAGAGGAGTGACCAGCTGTAGGAATGGGAACACAACCTGGATTTGTGGAATCATGGAATGATTTAAGTTCCCAATTATTCCTTCCCAATATCCCATCTAAACCTAGTTTCTTCCAGTTCGGAGCCATTCCCTCTTGTCCTGTCCCTCCAGAGCCTTGTCCAAAGTTTCTCTCCAAGAAGGACAGATGTAGGTGATCCTACAAGGAAGTTTGTCTCCAGTGCCTAAACCCAGGCTGGCAATCCCTAAACCCAGGCTGGCAGTGCCTAAACCAAGGCTGGCAATTCCTAACCCAAGGCTGGCAATTCCTAAGCACTTTCCAGTTGGATACTTCAGACTTGAGCTTTAACCAACTTCCTCTGTAGGATAATTAAAGGACTTAATATGAGAAGAAATACTGGGAATAATATCCCAATATTTCATTAATAATTAATAATTGATAACACATTAATGATGGAGCTGGGAATGAAGAGTGGAGCTGGAGCACCACTCTGGGAGAACCTCAGTGAGAGGGGGACCAGGAGCAGCATCTCATCCCCCCCAAAATGGACTTCCCCTCATAGATCCCAGAATCCCAGATTGGTTTGGGTTGGAAGGACCTTAAAGCCCATCCTATCCCACCCCCTGCCATGGGCAGGGACACCTCCCGCCATCCCAGGTTGCTCCAGCCTGGCCTTGGACACTTCCAGGGGTGGGGCAGCCACAGCTTCTCTGGGAATTCCATCCCAGCCCCTCCCCACCCTCCCACGGAGGGATTCCTTCCCAATGTCCTTCCCATCTAAATGAATTCTCTGAGTTGGAAGCCGTTCCCCCTTGTCTTGTCACAAATCCTTCCCTTCCTCCACCATCCCACCTCCTGCAGCACCATCCTGAGACATTTTTCCTCCTGGCTGCACTTTCCAGGCTCTGATCCAACACTTGGAGGAGCTTCCCGCTGACTCCAGCAGGTCTTGGATCAGGTGCTGCGAGTCCAATTTGTCCCAGCCAGATCCCAGTCACAGGGGTGGAGTTTTTAAGCTTGTGCTTAAAAAAAGTTTAAAGCTCGTGCCTGGACTTGGCTCCCTCCCTGACCTCTCTGAAAACCTCTCCTCGTTTTCCTTGGCTCCTCCAACGATTCTGCAGCCTCCTGTGGCTTTGGGAGTGGCTCAGGTTACTCACTGGTGGCCTCTTCTCCTGCCTCTGCCTTTCAGGAAGAGTTCCCTCCAGGATTTAGGACAGGGTTTTTGGTAGCACCCTCTGCTCTTCAACCTGTGAAACCATTTCAGTGCAACCACCTGTTTTCACACGCTCAGAATTCCACACAGCGTCCTCCTTTGGGGAGGAAATTTTCAAGGCTTCAGCTCTTGCTTGAGGCACTAGCTTTTGGGTTTGTTTGTTTTGTTTTTTTCTTTCAAGAAAATCCCAAAAGAAAAAGAAAGTTTGATCCAAATCCAGTCTACATTTCTGCGCTTGGCCCAAGGGAAGAAACTTTCCCCCTTGGAAACACAAACTTCTAACCACACTTGTCTTGGAGCTCTAAGGAGAAAGCAGCGATGCCCAGGAGCACTTTAGGAAGAGGACTGGAGCCCAGCTGTGGGCTGGAAGCCCTGATCCAGCCCAAAGACTGGAAAAGGAGGTGCCTCTCCTTGCCTTCTGCCAGGTTGGGGCTGGCACAGGGCTCGTGGTGCCTCCAGCAGGGATGGGGAAGATGGTTCCTCCACCCCCAGAGTTGTGACCCAGTCTCTCCTGGAGCCAGACAAATGGACTTCTGCTCACGCCTGCAAGTCCATCCCTAATTATGGGTGGCTTCAAAGCCCCCTGAGGTCAGGAGGAGCCTTTCCAGTGGCCTCAGCAGGTTCAAAGGGCTGGTGGGGTCTGGGGGAGGAGCTGGAACACCTTCCAAACCAGGTTTTGCTTGGATTTTTCCCTCCCTGTTCTTCAGGGTACCCTGGGAAATGAAATGGAAAGAAATAACCCCAGGGCCATACTCAGGCTGGAAGATCAAGCAGTCAAAGTCATCAAGAAATTGTTTAAAAAGCCTTGCGTTGCTCCAGGAATGTTGTCCCAGCTTCCCTGAGCCGTTTCTGTTCTCCCGGGTTTAACAAACGGATCATTTGTCTGATTTGAACCTGTTGCTGGAGCCCCCAGGTCACTCCCAGGCCTGGACAGGGCAAACAGGGTCCTGACCCAAAACTTGGAGTTTAGCTGCCCCCAACACCATTTGGCTCCTCCTGCCCTGGAGAGTTGTCCCAGTGATCACCCCCAGGCATTAATTCCTGGTGAGAATTCACTTCAAGCTCTAGCTTGGAAACCCATCCCAGGAAGTGTCCGAGGCCACCTGGAGCAACCTGGGCTAGTGGAAGGTGTCCCTGCCCATGGCAGGGGGCGGGACTGGATGAGTTGTATGATCCCTTCCAACCCAAACCACTCTGTGATTCCATGTCCAGTTTGCAGCTGCCAGAAGACAGGGAGAAAGATCCCTGGGATCACCATTGGATCAGAAGCACCGCAAGGATCAAGATCAGTTCCTGGATCAGGAGCTGAGGCTGGGGCACAGCCAAGTGTCCCAGGAGCTGTCAGACCATCTTCCCTCCACCCCTAAGGAAGCCAAAGGGAAGCTCCAGCTCTTGGTGAGAAGATCAGGATGTTGGTTTTCTTGGTCAGACAAAGGTGGCACCACGCCCAACACCTGGAATCCTGTTCCAGCCAGGAAAAAGCAGCCTTAAGAGCCCTAAGGCAAATTCCTCCAGCCAGAGGAGTTGGAATCACACGTGTCCACGTGGATTAATCCCTGCTGGGAGCACAGTTCCTGCCCTGCAGGGGAGTGGCACTCACCCTGGGCCATCTCCAGGACTCTGGGAAGGACTTTATCCCTCCTGGAGGGGCTCCAAGCACACTTTTCACCCCTTAGGGAGCCACTCCCCCTCCTGCATCCCACAGAAGCTTCCCACGAAGCCCAGGCACGGCACTGGGAGCAGCTGGATGCCTTGGGGTGGTCCTGCTGCTCAGGGAGAGCCCACAAAACATGCAAGCCCAGCCCGTGATACCTGAGAAAGTGCCATTTTAATGGGATAACACCTTTCCCACACAGCTCCTGGTGGCTCCAGCAGCAGGAATAAACCCCAGCACAATAGAACAGTCTTTAGCTGTGAGACACCCGGGGCTCCCACCCTTCATTTTGGCTCCCAAAGACAAGGATCTCATTAATGGGAGCTCCCATTTCCAGCCTGAGGGAGCTAAACATAAACCCAGCCCTTTCCTGACACTTCCGAGCACAAGAGTGAAATGCTGAGGCTCTTTCCCTGCTCCCAGGTTACCTGAGCAGCCACCTCGGGTGGCCTGGGAATCCCTCCTGGCTCCAGGGCTGCTCTCCAGCACCAGGATCCCACCAGGGACGTGGAGGCCACCCAGGGCCATCTCCTGCTCTCCTCTGCCTTGTCCCACTCCTCCCATGGGCAGGGACACAGCTTTCCCACTGAAAACCTGCCACTATTAGAAAATCTCCGCTGGCTCAGTGGCTTCCCTGCATCCAGGATGCTCAGGATCATGGATGTCCAGTTTGGATGGGGCTTGGAGTAACCTGGGCTAGTGGCAGATGTCCCTGCCCATGGCAGAGGGTGGAACTGGATGAGCCTTAAGGTCCCTCACAACCCAAACCAGTCTGGGATTTTGTGATCCCTTTAAATGAAGGTCTCCTGGAGCATCCTCCAAAACAGAGATCCCTTTGCTCTCCTGTCAGGATATTTGTGTTCGGATCCAGCTCCTGCCCTGCCAGGAGCAACAAGGAGCAAGAATAAAACTCGTGGTGTGAGTGGAACAAACCAACCTTCCTGCACATCCCAGGAAGGCTGTGCACCCATGGCCAGCCCAACTAACACGGGATTGACCCCGTGGAAGTGGGACCCCCCAGGCAGGAGTGTGAGGATTCCTGCCCCAAGGAGGAAGGAGCAGCACAGCCCCTGTGTGCTGAGCTCACTGCAGCCCCATTCCCTGTCCCCCTGCAGGGGAGAAGGGAGAGAAAACCAGGAATGAGGTTGAGCCTGGGAAGAAGGGAGGGGTGGGGGAAGATGTTTTGGGATTCAGGGTTATTTCCCATTGCCCTGCTCTGACTGGATTGGGCATAGATTTGATTTCCCCAGTGGAGTCTGTCCCGCCTGGGATGGTCACTGGGGAGTGATCTCTCCCTGTCCTTATCCCAATCCATGAGCTTTTCCTTATCTTTTTCTTCCCTATGTGGTTGAGGGGGGGCAGTGGAAGTTGTCCCTGCCCACAGCATCACAGGATGAGCTTCAAGGTCCCTTCCAACCCAAATCCCTCCAGGATTATGAAAGCCCAGCTCACTGTGTTCCAGCTGCTCCTTCCCAATCCATCAGTGCCATTTGTTGTTCCTGTCCCTTCCTACACACCAGGCACTGCTGCTGACCCAGGACCTACCTCAGGTCCCCTCCATTTCCAGCTTTGGAACGTGCATTGGAAGTTCTGCCCAGATTATTTGAGTTGGACTGGAAAACTTCCTTTCTCCCTCTCCAGGTTAAAGCCAGACCAGTTTGGAACCTCCTGCTCCCTCTTATCCAAACAGCTTCTCCTTCCCAGATGTGGATCCCCAGCTCCTCCCAAGCACAGCCCACACTTGGGCTCCAAAAAGTGTTCCAAAAAGCAGAGGAACCTGAAAGCACAGAAGAAATGAAGCAGCTCCTGCCTCCAACCTGATCCAAGGGAAAGCTGGGAGCCAGAGAGTGATCCCTGTGGCCAGGCTGCCAGCCCAGGAATTGGGAGATGCTCCAAGCCTGTCCCACTTCCCATCCATTTCCTTCTACACCGAGTCAGTCCTCTGAAACAAAAAGAGCTCTGTTAAAATGCACCTTTTCCATGAAATCCATATAAGTCCTTTCCGTTTATATCCCACTCACCTGCAATGGGCTCCTCGGGCCTTCTGGGGATTCTATGGATGGAAAGCAAGGGCTGTTCCTTTCCCCCCAGAGCTCCCTCAGTGTGGTTCAGAGGGAGACAGAGAGGGCACAGGTCCAATATTTTCCCTGGCCGTGCCAGGTGTATCTGCTGTCCTTCCCAGGGAACCGAAATTCCTTCTGTCTCTGGATTTGGGTCGTATCTGTTATTTCAGGGATTTAAGTTGTTTCTCCTTTCCTCCCCCACCTGATCCTGTGCAGGGCAGAGTGAGACTGAAATGAGAAGGATATTGGGAAGGAATTCATCCCTGGGGTGATGGGATGGGGAGGGGTTGGGATGGAATTCCTAGAGAAGCTGTGGCTGCCTCATCCCTGGAAGTGTTCCAGGCGAGGTTGGAGCAACCTGGGCTAGTGGAAGGTGTCCCTGCCCATGGAATGAGATGAGCTTTAAGGTCCTTCCAACCCAAACCCTTCTGGGATCCTATAAAACAATCCAGAAGGCACAGTCCCTGTCCTCCAGGGCTGGATGCCTTTCCAGAGGTGGAATCTCCTGTCCCGTGCTCCATGGTGAGAAGGGCAGGAGCAGGGAGCACCAAGCAGAGGGTTCCACCCAACCAGCTGGACCGTGGCAGGATCCAGGCAGCCCTGTGACCCCAATGTCCCTGTGGGCAGACCCTCCCCCATCCTTCCTGCCTGTGCTCCTCAGCAGGCCGAAAAAATGCCAAAAACGGGGAAAGACTTGGGAGAGAAAAGCCCACCTGGCACTTTTCCTGCCACCTCTGCAGGACCCAGAGCTCCGTGAGCCCTGAACACCCCTGAGAGCTGCCAAAGCAGCCCAAGCTGGCAGATCCCAGCCCATTCCTGGGCACACAGCAAAGCCCCGTCTGTGGCACCCTGGGGACACCAACCAAGGCCACCCCGGGCCAGCTCTGCTTCACAGCTCCTCAATCTGGGGGGGAATTTCTCTCCCTCTTCTCCTTGGGAAGAGTTTCCCTCCTGTGGCTCTCAGATACAATTCCAGGCCAGGCTGCCAGCGGGATTTGGGTAGGAGGGGGTGGGAGCTAATCCCTTTTTCATCACGTTAAATTAAACCATAAACTAGACCTTTTTAATTCCTTCTGATGAAATTTCTCCCTGGAAAAGGGAAATGTTGTTTCTCTGTGTTTTGTTCAGGGAACGGGGCAGGAAGCACTTTGGGGGAGATGTGCCTTGGTGTTGCAGGGAGTTATCCAGCACACTGTGGAGTTCTCCAAGAGCTGGAGGTCCTTCCATGGCTGGCAGATCCCGATTCATCCCTTGGACTAGACTGACTCACCCCCAGGGACACGAGCAGAGACAGGAGGAGGAGGAGGGGCTGGGGAGGTGAACTTATGGAATAGCTGAGGGAAAGGAAAAGTCAGGATTTCAATCCTGTTATCCCAGGGCAGAGCTGAGATCTCTGGAGAACACCCAGAACACCCTGCTGTTGCTCCAGCTGGATTCTGTGGATGCAGAAGGGCTGTGGGAGGGGAGCCAAGGGGTGACAAAGGGGGACAAAACCAAAGGGGGACGGGACAAATCTCTCTGTGCCCCTAAAGGGTGGCTTTTTAGCACTGGGAAGCTCTAAGGGGCTCGTGGGGACAAACACCACCTAAGCAGGAGTCTGAGCAATCCAGGATTTTTTGGTCCAGGTATTTAAAGGGAAAAGGGACCCCAAAAGTTTCCACCATCGGTTCTGGGGGTCCTGGGGGACATCCTGCCCCCCTTTTCCTTTCGGGATGCAGTTCCAGAAATCAGAAAGCTGGAGTGGCAAACACAAAGTGTTCTGCAAACACCCTCAAGTGTCACGGGCCGGTAAGAAGAGAACAGACCATTTCTCCTCTTCCTCCCCAGCTCCTCTAATTCCTGTCCCAAAGCCCCCAGGGCAAAGCCTCCCACCCTTCCAAATGTCTGCATCTGACCTGCAAAATACTCCCATGGTGGGGATGATCCACTGGGTGGGTCTGCAGGTCCAGACAGCAGGAAAAGAAACCATGAAGCAAAAAAAAAAAACCAAAACAAAACAAAAACCCCCATAGAAACATCAATCACTAAGGAAAAATAAGGCCACTGGCATTTCATCCATGATCCAAGCAACTAAAAACCTTGGGAACACCCTTACAGGGGACTAAAGCTCTGCACCTAGTTGTGTCCACACTAATACTCTTTGCAGGTTTAGGAGTGCCTAAAGCTGGACTCTCCTGGGCAGAACACCCAGAGGTCAGGAGGAAAACACTGCTGACACCTGCAGCTCGCTCAGAAAGAAATCCCTGGAGTTATTTCTGCAGAAAAAGTCACCAGGACACACACTGGGGAGGAAACAGGTACTTAAATTAATCCTTTCTAAATGAACATATGCAATAAAAATGGAATTAACACCTGGGCAGATAAAACACTTCAGCTCCCTCACATGGGGATGCTCCAACTGCATTTTCACTTGGTCCTAATCAGATTCCTGATAGCTCTGAGCTGAGGATTCAGGAACCTTCTGACTGGCAGGAGGGGGGAAAAAAATCATTTAATCCCCATTTATCCTGTACTTCATGTTGATGAGGAGAAGGAGATGTGAGGAGAAGTGGCCACAGAGGAGAAAAGGGCTCTGGAAACCTGGGAATGAGAAACAGCAGCTCCCACTTAAACAAACAAGTTATTTTAATAACTCTGCAACTTGAACATTCAAGTGAATATCATTTTAACCTGCAGAATAACATCTAAAAATCAATGTAATAACATTTTTAACACAATTTCAGGGTTCCAGTCCCTAAACATTTTAAATCTGAACAAGGCATATCTGCTAATTGGGATTTGGTGGGTTTTTTTTGGTAGGAATGTCAGTGAGTCCCAAGGCTTTTTTTTTAGTCTTCTCTTTTCCCTCTTCTTCACTTCCTTGCAGCCTGGTTTATGCTGAGAACCATCCTCTGGATTTTTTCATCATTCCTTAAAATATTGGCTTTGACAGCACGAATCTTGTCCTGCTGGTCTTTAATCAACTGGTCCAGCTCAGCCAGCTCAGCTTTTAATGGTTCCAGAGCACTGTCTGTGACGCTGAAAGACAACAGCAGGATGTTGGTGGGAACTCTGAGCTGCCTCAGCTTATTTAATCCTCAGAAAAAGGACACTGCAATACCTGAAAGGCTGCAAAGTATTTAATGGAATCATCAAATCCCAGAATGGTTTGGGTTGGGAGAGACCTTAATCATCTTGTCCCACCCCTGACACGGGCAGGGACGCCTCTCCCTAGAGCTCCAAGCCTTGTCCAACCTGGCCTTTAAGTTGTTCCCAACTTTCCTGAGAGAAAGTTTGGAAGAAGCAGCACAACGACAGGGATAGGGGAGAATATTGTACAGGAGAGACCCCCACGAGGCAACAGCAAAACTCACTTCTTGGCTCATCTGGTTTAGCTGCTAAAACTCCAAAAGAAGGACCAGAGAAGCTGTGGCTGCCCCATCCCTGGGAGTGTCCAAGGCCAGGATGGGGCCTGGAGCAACCTGGGATGGTGGAAGGTGTCCCTGCCCATGGCAGGGGTGGAATGGGATGATTAAGGTCCCTTCCAACCCAAACCATCCAGGGATTCCATGATATAGAAACTGAGTCTCACCAGGGACAGACAATCCTACCCCAAGAGGAAATTTAATAAATTTAATAAATCCTACCCTAATAAACCACAAGTTGCATCTGAAGTCCATGAGGCTCCCTTCCATAATTCTGCCCATCCTCAGGAATGCTGGCCAGCCAGGGAATGGCAGCCTGGAGGAGCCTGCTGTCACCCTGAATTCCCCAGGCACCCCAGGGCTCATCAGCTGAGATCCACAGCTCCAACCCATTCCCCTTTCCCCTCCTTCCCACCACAGGAACCACCAAAAGCATCCCTACAACTTCCATGGACGTTTCCTGTGCTGAGCTGATTGGGGTCTCACAGGAAACCTCGTTGTGTTCTCACCTACCAGGAGAGGAGCCAGCTGAGAATCCACCCATCTTGCTTCCACATGGATGAAGCACATGGATTCAGGGAGCAGCAAATCTCCCTGGGCTGGCTGTGACTCCAAGAATATGGATTTCTACTTCAGATTTAGGATCAGAGGACACAGAGCTGGAAGGGATGGTGTGCTTTCAAGGAGTGTAAAGGCACAGAGGTGGGACAAGCAAGGCCAAGGAATCTGTTCCAATGCCACTCAGACCATGGAAGGACATGGGAATCCATGGCTGAACATGGGAATCCATGGCTGAACATGGGAATTCATGGAAGAACATGTGAATCCATGGCTGAACATGGGAATCCATGGCTGAACATGGGAATTCATGGCTGAACATGTGAATCCATGGCAGAACATGGGAATTCATGGTGAAGAGCAGGCTGGGATTTAGGAATGCTCTCCCAGTCCTGACCCCAAAGCTCCTTTTTTTATCAGCTCTCCTCCCACTGCCCTTCCCACCTTTGGGAGAAGGAAGCCAAGGCCTGAGATGCCACCCCCATGTCCCCTCTGCTCTCTGCACACCCCCCCAGACTGGGTTGGAGGCACTTCCCCTCTCCAAAGCCCACTCCAGAGCCCCAACCCACGGCAGGGACTGGGGACAAGCTGGCTTTGAGAAATGAGTCCGGCTCTCCCAGAGGCAGGAATGTCTCCTGAGCCAAGCCCAGCCCTCCCTGAGCCCACTGACCTCTGCTCTCTCCTCAGGGCTTCCTCGTGCTGCCTGTTCTCCTGCTTCCACATCTCCAGCTCGTTCTTCATGGCATCCATGTCCTCCTGGATGTAATCCACAATCCTGCCAAGGGCTAAGGCGTTCTGGCACAGAGTCTGGATGGAGGCCTGAGACTTCCCGATTTCTTTGGCTACCAAGTCCCTCTCTCTCTTCCTGGATCCTTCCGAAACAATCGGCTTCTCCTAAGGGAAAGGATCAGTAAGGAAAGCATCAAAATTAGGGAAAAGTAAAGAATGCTTTGGAGACTGGGAAGGAGCTGGAGAAGTGTTTCTGCCAGGATGAAATGGAAGAGAAAAACCATGGAATCACAGAGTGGTTTCAGTTGGGAGGGACCTTAAAGTTCATCCCATGGGCAGGGACACCTTCCACTGTCCCAGGTTGCTCCAAGCCCTGTCCAACCTGGCCTTGAACACTCCCAGGGATGGGGCAGCCACAACTTTCTGGGTAAGCTTTGAAAGCAGCAGCAAGTTTTGGGAGCTCCAGCACCTGCTGAAGGGAAAAGCCTCCTCCTGGTTCTCTAAATCCCTTCTCTCCCTCCACTGTCCATACCTGGATTTCCAGCTCCTAATGCTGGTCCCAGTAACAGCCCTTCCCAGCTCCAATACATGGTGGTGATTCCCTGCCTTGTCCTCCTGTTAGCGGCTGGAAAACCGTGCAGGCTGCAGGTGTGGCCTCAACAAACTCCCAAAGAATTCCTACTGCTTCCCTCCTGTGCAGCCAGCAGAGTCTCTGTGGGGCAGCTCCTAAAGCCTCAGGTTACTGCAAGGTAAATAGGAGTTTCCTGCAGTGGGAAAGCCAGGAAGAGCAAAGGGATGCCATAAAAAGAGCAAAGCGATGCCACGTTGTTAATTCACTGCAATAAGATTATTTCAGGAAAACCATCGCCGTGAAGGAAAAGCCCACTGGTTTTTTTCGTCCCCACCAAGAAAAAACAACCTGGTTTTTCTTTCTTTCCAACACTCCCACAGGTCGAATTCCCAAACCCAGCCCCACGGAGCTGGAAGTGCAGCTATTTAAAGTTATTGAAGATGTGCCAGAAAACTAGAGAGGCCTTTTTCTCCCCCCACAACCGCAGGGTGAACCCATTCCTGGGCACAACTCCTGGCTGCTGTGGAAGCAGGGAGGTGGCAGAGGGCTCCTCCCTGGTGCTGGGACACAGGATCCATCCTCTTCCCAACCTGGCCTGGCTTCCTGTGTGAGCCAGGGGCTGTTTGCTCAGCTGGGTTTTGGAGGCAGCAGCAGCTCCTGCCAAACCTTGGTGAACTCAGAGGCTTTGGGGGAGAGAGAGATGGAGTTAGAAAAGCACTTTGGGCAAGATTCAAAGGCTGAGCTTGCCTTTGGTTGGGCTCGTGCTTTGCCACACACGTGGTGCAGGAAAACAGTGGGATTTGGGAGTTTAGTGGGAGTTTATGTTCCAGTTGTTTCATTAGGAACGGGGCTGGAGTGACAAACGTGCTGAACTCATGACCTTCGCTTCCGAAGGGGCTCCATGAGCTGCTAAAAACAACACTCCCTGAATTCCCTCCCTCACAGCAGCAGGTGTTTCATTACATACAGCACATAAACCACAGCATTCCGTGCTTTCTGGAGCCATCCATGTGTTCGTTATCCCGTAGGATGCAGGGATGAAAGCGCTGCGCTCTCACTGGGTTTCAAAGCCCTTCTCTGTCCTAACTCTGGTTTCCTACTCCTTGTGCTCCTTTCACAGGGAAGCTTAATCCATGGCACTAGACTTTCCACATGGAACTGGGAAGTTTAAAGACAACCAGCTTCAACTCAGCAGCAGAGTTGGATCAGATCCAGCAGCTTCCCAGGATAAAGTCCCGTTGCCTTGTTTTTCCCAAGTGCTCCAAACCCTTCCCACTTTCCTCCCCACCATCCATTATCCAAAGCCTCAGCCAAGAAATAAGGAATTCATTCCAAGTCCAACCATGTCAGAAGGGAGAAGACTCAGCCAGTCCATTATCTGAGGGTTGGGCTGTGAAAACCCAGGGAATGCTTCCTTTTTATTTTCCAAATACCAAGTTTGGGAACATTTCCTACGGCATTCTCCTGGAAAAGCTGGCAGCCCAAGGCTTGGACAGGTGGATCTTTGCTGGGTTAAGCCCTGCATTGGCTGGGGCCAGGGAACAAGGGACAGGAGGAGAGGGAACAGCCTCCAGCTGTGCCAGGGGAGGGTCAGGTTGGACATGGGGAGGAGTTTCTCCATAGAAAGGGTGGTCACGTACTGGAAGGGGCTGCCCAGGGAGATTTGGAGTCCCCACCCCTGGAGGTGTCCAAGGATGTGGCACTCAGTGCCCTGGGCTGGGGGACAAGGTGGGCATCGGGCACAGGGGGGACTCCATGGGCTGGGAGGGCTTTTCCAAGTAAAAATCCCCCAGGTCAGTAAAGAAGCAAACCAGAATTGTGCACTTTAGGTACAGAATATATCTTGATATAGATCTATAAAAACACAGGTCTCTAACACACAGAGCCAGCCAACAATTTGAAATATTCTCCGCCAAAATACGGAGCTGCCTGAAAAGCTCAAGTGGCAATAAAACACCATGGAATGCTTGGGATCAATCAGGAAAACACCCTTAAAGTACAGCAGCAAATATTCCAAACTAATTCTAGCATCCCAGGAATTTCAGCATGTTCTTTGTGTAGTCGAATTCCTAAAAAACTGACATGAAAAGGGCGACACATTGTCCCATCCAAAGTCAGCCACAGAATCCCAGGATCATTAAGGATGGAAAAGACTTTTAGGGTCACCAGCCACTCTTTCTTCATTTAATTAATGCTGCCAAGATCACAGAGTGGTTTGGGTTGGAAGGGACCTCAAAGACCATCCAGTTCCACTCAGGGACACCTTCCACTAGCCCAGGTTGCTCCAAGCTGTCCTTGAACACTTCCAGGGCTGGAGCAGCCACGATGCCACACGTCCTGCAGCTCGGGAATGATCAGCACGAACTCCTCAGGCTTTGCCAACTCTCACTAATTATAAAGAATTAAGAGGGAGACAAACCCATTACTGTGTGTCCCCAGCTCTGCAGTTACAGTTACAGGTTAAAATCCACGTGGGACACCCTTGGAAACGCCCAGGAATTCTGGCAGGGGGTTTATTACAGACAAGGTGGGTGGCACAAGGCCCGAGCACAACCTCTGCACAACCATGGAACTGGATATCTCCAGGAGCTGGATTAGCCCAGGCTGTTTCATTAGGCCCTACACCTCAACCAACCCTCCTTTCCCAACACAATCCATAAATTATCCCCACAGAAAAGGCTGGATCACTTCTGGAGGCCCAACACGCCCCCTTTCCTCGGTGTTTGTCACGAGGCACCAAGGCCAATGTCTAGTTTGGATTCCCAGGAAAAGGCCTGCCTTTCCCATCCCCTCCGTGCCAGCAGAACACGGGCACCTGAGCAACTGAAGAGCAGGAATTTTCTTTTTTAATCTTTTTTCATCAATAGGGGGGAAATTACCAACAAGGCTCCAGAAACCACCAGAATTTCCAGAAACAGCCTTTCCTTACTTTTACAGCCACTCCTTTGTTCCCCTTTTTTTATTTAATTAACATCTTTTTAAATATGCATCAAATTAGCCTGAACATCCATCAAGCATTTAATAGTTTCTACAGCCCCTTTTAACTCTACTGTTGTGCCCCACTATGAAAACAGGCCCAAGTAATCAGTTTTATTGAGCTCCCCCGTCTCCCCCCACCTCTTTCTACAGGACAGGGCAGAAACTTCATTTTGGACAAGTAATTTTGATCCATTCCATGCAAAACCAACAAGGTGGGAGCTTTTTTTTTTCCTGTATAAAATATGGTTTTGGATCATAAAGGCTGTTTTCTTTTCCTGCTTTTTACAGAGGCTGCATTTTCAGTAGATTGTAACTATCCACGAGGGAGCCCTGTAAGAAACTCTTTCACAGGAACAGGGGGAAACCAGTAACTGTGAAATCATTTGAAATGAGCAGGATGCTTTTCCTGCTGGTGCCAGGTATGGAGTTCAGTCCCAGGCCAAGGAGTTGGAGACACAATGTTCTTCACCACTGGATTTACCAGACTCAGTCTGAGTTGGAAGGCACCTCAGGAGAATAAAAGAATGGATCTTTCAAAGGGGATTTTTAATTCTTCTTTCTTTTTTTTTTTTTCTGGAAAGAAACATTCATGTTTGATCCCCCTAAAAAGAGCTGGACTTTGCACTGGATATGGACACCCAGCTCAGCCCCCAGAGCTGCTCTGCTTTCCCTCACACTCAGCCTGTGCTGGGGAGAAA